CAGAAGTGTTTGAACCACCTCAAGTCCGTGGAGGCTCAGTTCATCTTTGATGCTGTAGGCGAGAACTGCATCACCGTTGGCACTCATCGCCATGGTTGCTGTGTTCTTCAGCGCTGCATTGACCACGCTGTTGGCTTCCAGAAGGTTGACCTCATTCGCAAGATCACGGCCCATAGTTTCCATCTTGTACAGGATCCTTTCGGCAACTATGTGGTTCAGTACATCCTGGATCTCAACGATGCTGCCTTCACAACACCCATGTGTCAAGGCTTCCAGGGCAAGATCTGCGAACTGTCCAAGCAGAAGTTCAGTTCCAACGTTATCGAGAAGTGCATCCGCTGCGCTGAGCCACACGTCAAGGGCATGATGATCGAGGAGTTGCTTGATGTCGAGCAGCTTGAGCAGCTCATGCGCGACTCATACGGCAATTATGTTATTCAGACTGCACTCGAGTTTGCCCCTGCTGAGCTTTGCGTGCACCTCATTGAGGCTATGCGTCCAATTCTGCCTTCGATCCGCCAGACTCCTTATGGTCGTCGCATCATGAGCAAGGTCGGAGAGCGCGAGACTCGCCTGGCTGCGTACACGGGCGGGCGTACTTCTTCTGGTCAAGCTTCTCCTGGTGCTGCTCAGGGCTCTGAGCAAGGTGCAGTATTCAGTCAGGCCCTGCCACAGTATCAGCAAAACAGCGTCGCAGCTAGCTACCAAGGCGCCAGCGGTTCCTCTAGCTTCCAGACACCAATGTACACGGCCAACGCAAACTACGGCCCAAGTATCATTTCACCCCAGCCTCATCGTCAGCCTCACCGCCTGAGCAACCCCCACCACATGCACAACCCTATGCAGGACAACCGCCAGAATTATCAGGGTTACCAGAACCAGCATCAGTACGGTGTCGCTCAGACCAACGGCGGTAACGGCAGTTGGTTCTAGTTGAGCCAAGCGGTCGACGAGGTTATGACTTGACGAGCCACGGTCTGTCTAAAAACACATCACTACCCAACATTGTTACCAGTACATTACACTGGTGGTGGCGTTTGTGATGTTGATGGGTCGATCTTTCTTCTATCTATCGTTCTGTCTGTCGCATTGGGCGGATGGATCGATCTTGTATAGTACGACTACACGAGCATCATCGCGAAGCCCCGGCAGCATTCGGCATTCACACGGCGTACGGACATGATGGGCTACACGGCGTCTCTTCCTCTTTCACTGATTGTATTCTACCCCTTCATTTTGCCCCCATCGATTGCTTCCCATTCCATGACTTGTCTTCACGATACGGCACCTTGGTGCACTAAAAGGAACGTTTCAGCATGAGCACGAAAACGAACGAGCACGAGTACACTAGCACTGTCGCCGTATGGGCGGCCAACTTCCTCCTTTGCACCTTTGTAATGGCACTTGTCGTGAGCCTGGAGCTAGGTGGCAAGTCTAAGTAGACAATTGAACGATCATTATTCCAGAAGTTGCATAATATGGCGTGCGTGAAACGAGACACACATTATACGAAGAGGTTCGTTCCTGTTCAGTTGTAGTTTAACTCTACTGCCCAATGAATCGTGGCCGAGATTGCATCGATGTGACGAGGGGCTCAGAGCGGCTGCCAGTTTGGTTGAACATGTGAGACTATGACGCGCTCCTTCCGCCTTCCGCATCCGGATCGACCACATGAAACAACCACCTTCCTCGTTGCTCCTAGCCACCTACAAACCACGCCCCAGTACGACCAACAAACCTTTTACGGTACCCGACAGCACTATATCGCGATAAGACGACTGCCCGACGTCTGCGACGCTACAATCCACGCTCTCCCGGCTCTTCGCAATCGTCAGCCGACTACGAGCCACAAACCGCGACTCCACAAACTCCACAGCACAAGACTGCGCTACTTGGCAAAACCAGACACAATGCGCTTCGCCATCTTCTCCTTCCTTGTTGCACTTCTCGCTACCTTGATCATGGCCGCCGCACCTCACCGCTCCGTTATCATCAGCTGGCCAAAGGACACACCCGACGAGATTGTGGAGCAGAGCAAGGAGGCCATTAGACAGGCCAAGGGTAAGATGGGCTTTCTACACGCGTGCACAATTGCAGGAGGCACGTACTAACAACAGTGCTTTAGGTGTCATTACCCACGAATACAACATCATCAAGGGCTTCGCTGCCCAGGCCCCTGCTTCCGCTCTCGAAATGGTGTCGACGTTGAGCGATGTGTACAAGTGCGAGATTGAGGAGGATGGCATTGTTACTACGCAGAACGACAAGGTGGGGATCTGAGGGGATGGCGGAGAGAGGGAGAGGGAGAGAGAGAGCAAAGGGGATTCAAATTGACAAAGTCGTTTTTTGATCATTCGCCCTCACGATGTATGAATGGAGTTTGCAAGAATGTTAGTTGTAAAGTGTATTGGTGCTTTTGCTTTTGCGGTTGCCATGTACAGTAGAGTTTGTATTGATTTGATGGACGTCTTTTGAGATACTGATCAGATGGTGGAACCCTGCAGCGGCTCTTTCCCCGCGGATAGCAGCCCTAAGGGACGTGCATTCGTCTCAGCACAACGGCGGCTTTATGCGCGTCATGTCCCGTCTGTCTCGAGGCCATTAGTGAATGTCACGTTGATGCCCCTCACTGTACGACCCATTCACGACGTTAGGGCCCGGTATACGACGACTGACGACGTCGCCGCGGGAGTGTGCTGTATTTCGGCTTAGCGGTCGGATCACCCCCAACCTCACCGACGCGCGACACGTCCTCGAGCAAGGAACAGCCTGTGCTTGGTGGAGCACGTACTCTTCACCGCAACGCAAAAACGCGAACTCGAGATGCATGACTGCGACTCACTTTATTCCGACCGGATACTAGCATACACAAACCTACACGCGGGTACCAAGCCCCGCGATACACCACCATGGACGACTTCAAGCCCGAGCTGCTGAAGGCTCTCCTCGACTGGGTGCGTCTCCATATCCATCCCACTATAGGCTCGAGTGGTATAGCTGACACTTCGCGTCCAGGTCAACACCTTCGACCTCCCCCACAGAATCACATCACTCACCCAGCTCGAGGACGGCCAGATACTCTGGCAGATCCTCGCCGACATTGACGCCGACTACTTTAACGAGTCTCTGCCCAATTTCGAAGAAAACCACCGCCGCCAATCAGACAATTGGATACCGCGATGGCAGAACCTCAAATACATCGAACGCACAACCTCGACGTACATACGCGAAGAATGCGAGCAGCTGCCCGTTCTCACCAAACGCATGATACCAGACCTAAAGGCCGGCGCGCGGGACGGATCCACAATGCTTGTTGCAAAGCTCACCATGGCCGTGCTGCTGGCTGCATGCTTCTCGCCACGGAGCAATCAGCGCATGCTACAAGTCATGCCAAAGCTAGGCCAAAAGACGGCCGAGACCATTGCTGAAGCCATACAAGAGATGCAGGCCTTGGACCAGCGCATGTCAGAATTAGGCGTCGATGCCGAGTTGACTTCAGATCCAGTTCCCACAGGGTATAGAACGCCCACACGAGCCATGTCTGGGCAACCGCCGCCTGCAGGGAATGAATTGGAGCAGGAGGCACAGCTATTCGAGGCAAACAAGGATAGACAAGCACTAAAAGCCCAGGTTGGAAAGCTACTTGACGAGCTGAAGGTCTCAAGAGAACGGATAGCAAAGCTCGAGGAGGAAGTCGCCGAAGCAACTGCCTATCTCGACGTCCGAGCCGGCCAGGCACAACGAGCTCAATCAGACGATGTCGAAAACTTACGGAACGACCTGCTGCGCGACCGGCAATACATTGATCAGCTCGAACAAGACCTTGTGCACACGAGAGAAATTATGGAAAGCCAGAAGCGACGTCTTGATCGGTTAGAGGGCGAGGAAGGATCCAAGCAGGACCTGCGTGATCAGCTACAACTTGTCAAGGCGGAGCGTGATGAGCTGAGCCAGAAGGCCAAAGCTAACGAGAACCTGAAAAAGAAGATCGAGTCTCTCACCAAGGAAACCAAGCAGCTGGAGACGCTTCGGGAAGACTACCAACAGGCTCGCGAACGATTAGCCCAGCTTGAACAAGTCGAGGAGCGTAACGACATCCTGCAGAACATCATCAAGGAGAACGGCCAGACGCTTGCCAATGGCGAGCAGGCCATCTTTGAAGAAAAGGGCAAGCGTACACGAGTCGAGCATGAGAACTTGCTTCTCATGAAGCAATTGGAACAGACCCGCGAACTACAGTACAAGGCAGAAGACGCCAAACAGGAACTCGAAGAACGGATACGTGAACTAGAGTCATCGAATCACGCAGACCGTGGTGATAGCCTGGAGGACGAGCTCACACAAGACGAGCAAGATACTGAGGTGAAGCCAGTGTCTGATGGACGGGTGAGCGCAGACGCTATCGCTCTGCAACAAAGAGTGGATATCCTCAATGCTCGTCTGAAGTCGCTGGAAAGCGAAACTCTTAAGCAGATGCAGGAGAACCTCGGTTTACGGTCTGACATGATGGCGGAAAAGGACGAGAACAGCCAGAAACCCTTCCTGGAACAGAACGAAAAGCTAACGTCGGCTCAAACCGAGCTCGAAGAGCTCCGTCGCCGGTTGCGCGAGCAAGACCTACAAATGGCGGAACTTCGCAATGAGCTTAATAGGAGTACGTGTCGCGATACATCTATGAGATCGTGCTAACTTTGCCAGAATCCGACATCGACGACGATACACGGTCAACTGCTATTCAAAAGGAACAAGAGCGCCTGCTAGTACTGCAAGAAAGAACCAACGACAGACTACGAGAGCTCGAACTTGCGAATGCAGAAAAGTCAGGTCTTCTTCGAGCAGCGCTGCTCGACCGCCAAAACCTGCCGCCAGAGCTTCTCGAGCTTAAGAGGGTCGAGACTATACGGCAGATGCGTGAACGAATAGAGTCTGTCATTAAAGCACCACCAGAAGTACAACCACAAACGCTAGATACTACGAGTACGGAGATTGCGGAGACGGTATTGTCCGCCGAAGCAGCCCTAGAAAAGGCAAAGAAGGTAAGTGCCAGACAGGCATCTCATAGCAAGTCTTCTTCAGCATTCGATGCAGCGGTTTCGACAATGAAGAGACAGCTCGAACCATCGTTCACTGCAGCTACTCTTGTCTCGCCGACATCACCGTACAAGAATCATCTAAGCAAGGATAAATCTATGTCGGAAATGTCTACTTCAACAGCTGGGACGGGGCAAACCACGTGGGGCCGCATGGCGCAGCTAGTCTCGCCAAAGCGGAGGACCAAGTCGACGATTCAATCGTCGAATGACTGTGTGGCAAGTTTGTCCTCGGCCTGGCTGCCTGAGTATACGCATACTTTTCACATCGACTTTTAAACCCCTTTTCTCTCATGTACTCTAATTTAATGCAATCACGCTTTTGCTAATAAGGACCCAGGACCTCCAAGACCAACTCACCACCTCTAGCAGCCTCCGCGAGCAGCTCGAAGTGGCGCGGAAGGAGACCTCTGAGAAGGGCTCGGTATGTCGCGTCCCCTCTATCTCGCGTTCAGCAGCCTGGCAACCATGGATATGGTAGTTTTGTGTTTTTTATTACAACAAATGCCAACAAACACAGGTCGAACTACAACAAGAAGTCGAAAACCTGCGACGCGAAAACGCCCTCGTAAAGAGCATGTGGTATGACATGAATCAACGCCTCCTTAGCAATACCGTTATCCTGCAAAGACGCAGCGAAGCACCCAAGGGCTGGCTCGGAAAGCAAAGAGCTGTTGTTGGTGGCGGAAGCGTCTTAGTACGTTAGCTCCCCTTGTTCCTTTGCACGGGCTCGTGTACCCTTCATCTAGCTAATGAGTCACAGGGCAGGAGGTAGCAGCAGCAGGAACAGGGACACGGTACTCGCCGTCGCCGAGCGGAGTCGCAACGGTAGGAGTGCCGCGTGCCCCAACGACGATGACGACAATGACTGGCTCCTCGGATAGCGTGCTCGTCTCTTTTCTCTTCATTACGCATTTTGTAGGCTCGGAGAATCGGGTTTGGTTCAGCATAGCGCAGGTTTGGTGGCATTTGTATTGCGTGAGGATGTATAGACGTATTGTCTTTTGTCACTTATACCCCCTTTTATTTATATGTGGTAGTAGTAGCTTCTAGCGAGAACCAAAAAAATAAAATGAAAGACAAAGATATATGAGAGCTCTGAAGTTTTGTTTTTTCTTTCTTCCATTGCTGGGATCGACATGCGTGACGAGGGACATGAATCTGTGGAAAAGTAAGGTCTGGACTTTGTACGACAAGGCCGGTTATGTGGTGTATATATATATTGTTTATTATGTCTTTTCTTTTTTATCGACATGTCTAATTCCACTCTTTAGAATCTCAAACTCGACGCCCCTCCCCTCCGACGGCGGGGCCCAAGGCGCAAACACAACCTTGAACCAGCGTCGCCACTTGGATATATGGTTTTCCTCTGCGTCGTTCCACTGATCCTGGCCGTTGACGGTATGGATCAGAGGTCCTCTGCTGGCGAAGACGGGCGTCTTTTTGAGAACGATGCGGCAGGCGAGTTGGTTTGTCCAGACGAGGCCGAGGGAAGGTGTTTTTTGCACGTGAGCTTGTTCGTATTGCGAGTCGCCCCAGCCGGTGAACCAGCGTTGTTGGTGGTCGAGAGCGAGGGGGTCGGGGGAGAGGACTAGGGTTTCAGCGGTTTGAGAGGCTGGCTCGATGGCGTGAGTCGTGTTGTCTGGATTGTCTCCTTGGCTGTTGTTTGATGTTGTACGGACAGTGCCTTGGCTGTTGGTAGATGCTGTTCTTGAAGCAGTATTAGAGGATACAGCAGACGGCGGCTTTGTGAATCGGTCGGCAACTTGGTTGGCTACAACGATAGTTATGCCTTTTGTGCGCGCGAGTTCTCTTAGTAGTTCACCTAGCTGTACAAGCTGTGTGCCTCGTCTAGCCATAGCCGCAGCTCCATTCCCTGCACCCTGCTTCTCAAACTCAGCGCGGTAGTTGGCGGCCACAGAATCCAAGATGACAAGGCCGATGTCATGCTTCTCGATGGCTACGGGCAGCTGGTAGCGCAGTATGTGCTCCTGTGATTCGAGATCTGGGGTCTGTATGCTCAACACGCGCGATAGTGAGGGCTTCTGGTCGGCGGGCAATGGAGCGAGGGCCGGATGGGAGGATAGCAGCTGGGCGAGACGGGTCGTGGATAGTATTGCCTCGGTAGATATGTAGACTGCCGATTTGGCAAGACCTTGGGGAGGCGGTAATTGTGAGGCTAGCAGCAAGGTAAGGAGTAGTTGCGTTTTACCGGCACCACTAATGCAGTCAGTCAGTATAGTCTTGTTAAACAATACCCCATACTGACGTACCTCTCACCGGTGACCTCTACCAGGTACCCGCGCGGTATGCCTCCACCCAAGGCAGCGTCCAGCTCTTGATCCAAGGTGCTTATACAAGTCCAGCCATGTTCGGTCGTGTCCGGGTTACCCGATGCGGAAAGGAAGGAATTGCCGACTGCTTCCTCTCCGCCGAAACCCAGCTGGTGGTGTAGAGCAGCTATCACGGCATCTGCTAGTTTCCTCACCTCTGCCGCCGGCAGCTGGGCGCGTTTGGCAACGTCGGCCGCGTCAAGGGTAAGCAGGTCATTAGAGGTGATCAGGGCCTTGTCGAGCGAGGGCAGCAAATGGGTGTAAGGTTTCGCGTCGAAGTCAGGCAGCACCTGCAGCAGATCCGTCATGGGCCAAAGTGTCGCATTTGCGCGGCTCTGCGGATGGCACGCGCGAATCGGTTCCGGACTCGCCTTTTCGGTCAAATGTCACGGACGGAGAGGTTGGACAGACGTGGACCGTGGGGTGCTTGACGCGTGATGAAATGTGTTCGCGTATGTTCGAGAAGCTCTTGGCCGCTAGTTGGTTTAGTCTTTAGTCCACAGAGACATGCCATAGTGGGGGTCTTCCGTTTCTCCTATGGTCCGTGTCCTACGTCACACCCTGCTCCCCGCTTCTCCACACGTTGGCATACATCAGCCAACTCCTCCAATCCCAGCCCGCCCAGCACTAGGCCCAGACATCGACGCCTCAGGTTACTCTACGTAGAGCTCGTGAGCAATGACCGCATAGGCGCGCAGTATCCTCTCCTCCAAGTAGCTACACACTATAGTCCCATCCAACGCGAGTGCCTTGTAACCGTTGTCGTAGAACTGCCCAAGCATATTTCTCCGATTAACCGGACCACCTACGCGACGGTGGGTGCCCTTTATAAGTTCGCGCTACCGCCGACGCTTCCACTCGTCCGTAACATAGATAGCTGGTTTCTAACAGGCCCACTAGTACACCTCGGGAGCAGCCTTGCGCGCCTACCGTATCCTCACGACCGAGTCTCTCTGACATTTGCTGTGCTTCCACCGCGGCTCATCTTTTCCGGTCCTACATCCTTGTCCTGCTGCATCTTGGAGAGCACAATAACGCCCATTGGAGTACAGTAAGTTGTTGCGCAAGAGTGTACATTGACTACAGCAGCGACAGCAGCTTCATTCAGCTTTCAGAACTGGACAAGACGTCAAACTATTCGCACTTCATTTAGGGCTTGACGCTACTGTGTAAGTTGCATTCTCCTTGCATGGGCCTTTCGTTGGTTCACCACATCGGGTCATTCACCTCTCTGGTCTGCCATGGTCCGCGTCACGTTCCGGGTCAGCGGTCGGCTACCTGAGCGGCATACTTGCATCACCTTGTCTGTTTATTACAAAGCCTATCGCGCGTTTCACATGCCCAGTTGTCGTGTGGACCCGCCCCAGACATACTTTCCCCATTCGTCTCGAGTCTTATAAGAAGCTTCCCTTCCCAAGTACCTCGATGCCTCTTCGCGAACTTTGAGTACCCATGCCGGCCTACTGTCTTCAGGACTGTCACTATTTCTATCGCAGTGCCTTGCGGCATCTCAACATTGCCACCTCCATCTCTCCTCTCTACGCGTAACTGACACACTCGTCATGGCAGTCCGCACTTTTACCCAACCGTCGTCCCTTGAGGACACACTAGTCAAAGCATCCAAGATGTCTGGCTCAGAAGCCAACGATACCACTCGCTCGTTAGAGAACGCAAAGAACAGCACACAGTCTCACTCTGCAGAGGCACAGGCACCGTTAGCAAGCCATACCAACCCAAACTCGAGACCAGGCATTACCTTCGCACACGAAGACAGTCTTCCGAAGCTTCCCATCCCAGAGCTAGACAGTTCGTGCAAGAAATACATCGCTGCTCTCAAACCCTTGCAATCACCAAAGGAACACAGCGACACGGTTCATTCCGTAGAGGACTTCCTCAAGACAGATGGACCAGTGCTTCAGGAAAAGTTGAAGAAATACGCTAGCGGAAAGAACAACTACATCGAGCAGTTCTGTAAGTATATGCCTTGTATTTCAGATGACAGGAGTGAGCAGTATTAGAGGTGGTTTCGTGATTGATAGTTGAAAGTGTCATTCATATCCATGCATCATACGCTGACCTATCGCTAGGGTATGATTCATATCTCAATTTTGACAACCCGGTGGTACTTAATCTAAACCCATTTTTCTTACTGGAGGATGATCCCACCCCAGCTCGCAACAACCAGGTCACTCGCGCAGCCTCGTTAGTGGTCTCGGCACTGTCGTTTGTCAGAGCTGTTCGTCTAGAAGAACTACCGCCTGACACCATCCGCGGCCAACCGTTGTGCATGTACCAATACTCAAGACTGTTTGGTACTGCTAGGATACCCACTGAACATGGATGCCAGATTGGTCAAGACCCTACGTCCAAGCATATCGTCGTCATGTGCTATGGCCAGTTCTATTGGTTCGATGTTCTGGATGACAACAACGACCTGATCATGACAGAAAAGGATATTGCGCTCAACCTCCAAGTCATTGTAGAGGACGCACAGGAGATACCGATCCAGGATGCTGCCAAAGGAGCACTAGGTGTGCTCAGTACGGAGAACCGAAAGGTCTGGGCAGGTCTCCGCGATGTGTTGCACAGGGAGGAAGGTTCAAACAACTCTGACTGTCTCAATATCGTCGACTCGGCACTTTTCGTCCTATGTCTGGATTACACCGAGCCACAAACAGGTGCCGATCTCTGTATGAACATGCTTTGCGGTACGAGCAAGATTGAGCGCGGTGTTCAGGTGGGAACATGCACCAATCGCTGGTATGACAAGCTGCAAATTATCGTTTGCAAAAACGGAAGTGCTGGAATCAACTTCGAACATACCGGTGTCGACGGTCATACAGTGCTAAGGTTTGCATCCGACGTGTATACAGATACTATCCTCCGATTTGCCAGGACTATCAACGGTAGTGCACCAAGTCTGTGGGCTTCTTCGAGCCCTGATCCCGCGAAGCGCGACCCAGATAGCTTCGGTGACGTACAAACAACACCCCATAAGCTTGAGTGGGACATGTTGCCGGAACTTAGCACAGCACTTCGTTTTGCCGAGACGCGCCTGGCAGATCTTATCCAACAGAACGAGTTTGCGACTCTAGAATTTCCTCACTATGGAAAGAACTTCATGACTTCGATGGGTTTCTCTCCTGATGCTTTTGTTCAGATGGCCTTCCAGGCAGCGTACTATGGTTTATATGGACGGATAGAGTGCGTATACGAGCCCGCCATGACCAAGATCTATTACCATGGACGTACGGAAGCCATCCGGTCCGTGACGGAAGAGTCAGTCGATTTTCTGACAACATTCTGGGGCGAGAACCCAGCAACGCAAAAGATCGAGGCACTCCGAAAGGCTTGCCAGAAGCACACTGAGAACACAAAGATCTGTTCCAAAGCCCAAGGTCCTGACCGACATCTTTACGCCCTATACTGCATTTGGCAGCGTGCCATCGACGAGTCAAACGACACAGCTAGCAGTGATGGCTGGGACTCTACGCGACCATCTAGCGCTGATGCATCGGGTGTAGGATCACCCAACCGCAACTCAGTACTATCAGAGAACGACTCCATCTCCAGCTCACCACCACCAGCGCCAATGCAACACTCAATGCCCGCCCTCTTCGCCGACAGTGGCTGGGACAAGATCAACCAAACCATTCTCTCCACCTCAAATTGCGGCAACCCTTCTCTCCGTCAATTTGGTTTCGGCCCAACATCCGCCGACGGATTCGGCATCGGTTACATCATCAAAGACGGCAGCATCTCTATTTGCGCCTCATCCAAGCACCGCCAAACTTCGCGCTACATTGACGCGCTCGAATCTTACTTCTTGGAGATCCGCAAACTCCTCCGCCAAATCAAACGCCGCGGTACCTCAGCCGATAAAACCGCAACCCGTGCCCGCGAAGCAGAAGACAGACCCCTAGCCAGCCGTCTCAAGAGCAGAGGCAGAATCATTCTAGGAGACGGTGGCAAGCAACAGACGCCCGCAGAGAGTATAGTAGACGATGACGACGACGACGGTCTTGGTGGATGTAGGACTCCCCCTTCCCCTCCTTCCCTTCTTTCCCTTGATGAAGTCTCGAGCCATGCTTCTTGTTCCTCTTCTCCTTCTACGCCTCCTTTCCCAAGAATAGGCGGTTTACCGCCTACGCCTCCTCACTCTCCTCCTTTTAAACCCATGACGCCTGTTTTGATGAGTTCACCGCATAAGCCTATTCCAGTTGTCAAGACAGTCAAGGCGAGGAAGGTGCCGCAGTCGGCGCGGAAACCAATCTTTTATTCGTCTTAGTGTTTTTTTCTTTTCTCTTTACTTCATTTCATCGTCTATCATTTTCTCAACACGAGTCATTGTCGAGAGCATGGGCAGCATTGCAAGAGACTTCATTCCCCATCACTACTTCGTTCTACCCACAGAACCCCCCTTCCATATGTTTCATTTTGGCTGATTCTTGGTTTTCTTCCGCAATTATAGATGGCTTCTTCGATGCGGGAATGCTTCGTCAGGCACTCAACGCAAATCGAGCGCAGAACGAACCCGTCGAGCGCGACGTGATACGCAGGAATATTGGGCGGAGGTTGAGGTTGGCTGAGTACTGAGGTACCGAGGGCTGAGTAACTTTGGCTTCGTGAGAAGAAGGGAAGCAGGGAAGCAGAGAGACGAGGGCTGGGCTGGTCCTGTCGGGATTAAAGTACTAGATAGGAGAACGCGGCACAGCGGAGGTTTGGAAGTGAAGTGGATATGTATGTAATGGATGTGAAAGTACATGTAGGAGTATAAAGTCCAGCGCAACGTCACATTCATTCGTGCCGAAACTTGAGGTATGCTCAATGTGCCGCCACGATCGCAATCCTGCTCGTGGCTTCAGCAACAATATGCCTGTCAAGTTATAATTCCCGATATTAGAAATAACTTCTTGTGGCTCAGCATCCTCGGTACCGCTTTACAGGGATAAGGCTGCCACGTCAACTTGTAGGCGCTTAGAAGCGTGGCGCAGCTATGGAACACTCCTACCTCGTTCACCGGAGGTCATCAACGATGTTATTACTGCCTTCTTTTCTCTTCATAAAAGGCGCTCTGGTACAGTTGTACATCTCGCAATTCAATACTTGCTTGGCTGACCTTTTTTTCGTGCTACGAGGCATCGCGATCATTTATGCTTCAGCCCTTCTACTTATACATTCGTCTCTCTTTGGAGAGCTTAATGTTGTAATTTATTCTACCAACCTAGGGCACTCTTCAAAATGAATTCCGGAGCTTTGCTAGAAAGCAAACAGAGCGCGACAGGCAGTACTGTCAACTCCTCCCAGAGCAATCAGAACCTACCACTGTGGTTGGCCGCAAAGAATGGGAAGGAGGATGAAGTAGAGTCACAGCTCAGTACGAACGAATGGAAAGAGTTACGGCTCGGTACGAATGAATGGAACAAAACCGCGAAAGACTCAGAGGGCAGGACAGCGCTGTGGTGGGCCGTGTGGCACGGACAAGCGAGGATAGCCGGGATGCTGCTTGCGACGCGGAAATTCGACGTGAACGAAAGACCTTATGGTTACTATGGGCTGTTACATGCAGCTGTACTGTTCAAGCACATCGATGTAACTAAACTCCTGCTCGACCAAGATGGCCTAGACGTCAACAGCAAAGACACCTATGGCCTTGATAACCTGAATCAGCAGACACCGCTACATTTGGCCGCGGATCGAGGCCTGGAAGAGATGGCGAAATTACTGCTTGCACATCCTGGCATCGACGTGAATTCTCAAAATAAAAGTGGTGAAACTCCACTACATGCAGCCGCGAAGAAGGGTTATAAAGAGATCTTGGTGTTATTACTTGCACGAGCCGAGATCACTTTAGCCCCACGCAATAAGAATGGTTCAGCCCCACTCCACCTGGCCGCGGAAAACGGGCATGAAGAGCTGGTAGACGCATTACTAGGTACACCAAAACTGGAGACCATGTCAGATGTTGGCAAAGACGAGTACGGTGGCTCACCATTACATGCAGCTGCAAAGAATGGCCACAGGGGTGTCGTGAAGCTGTTACTTGCACATGGCACTGATCCAGATTTACGAGACCCAAGGGGTGCAACTCCACTGCATCTGGCTGCGATTGATGGATATGAAGACTGTGTCATTGCGCTTATGGATCGTGCAGATGTGAACGTAAAAGACCAAAATCTTCGCACTCCTCTACATGAAGCCGTGCAGGAACAACATCACAAAGTGGTGGAGCACTTGCTCAAAAAGTCTAGAGTTCTCGTACATGTTCCAGACAAGGATCTAAGTACACCGCTACACCTAGCCCTGCTCATGGGATACGAAAGTATTGCAAGGCAACTCCTAAAAGCTTCCGGCTTCGGCGAGACCCCAAAGGGTACACACAACAGAGCTCTCCTGTCTTGTGCCACTCAAACAGGCAACGCCGTGATGCTAAAGCTGTTGTTTAAACGTCTCGAACCCAGTGTTATTACCGCAGAAATTAATGCCCTCGACGAAAACGAACAAACGTTGTTATGGTCGGCTGCTAAACGCCGAGATAACAATGTGATGGAATTACTCTCTAAGAAGGATGAGGTGACGTTGCATTTACTAGTTCAGAGAGGGGAAGCGTCTTTAGTGACAGTTCTATTAGAGGCTGGCTACAATGTCGATACCAAAGACAACCTCGGTCGCTCGGCCCTGCACGTTGCAACGATACTTGGACACTTCGACATAGCGGAGAGCCTCGTATCCTTTGGAGCGAGTGTCGACTGCAAAGATGGGCGAGGCAACACAGCATTACGTCTAGCGATACAACGAAAGCGCTGCGATTTTATTGACATGCTTCTTGAGAGTTCTGCAGACATGACGGGAGTTAGAAAACATGAGTGGCTTGATGCGTATGGTCAAACAATGCCAGATGCTGTATACCTGGAGAAAGAGTTGAGTGGGAAGAAGACTATACGTTCCATCAAAGCAGCAGCTATTCCAGATACAATCAGGCAGATGCATAACGCACCAAAGACAGGGCGTCGTCTCATGTAAGTCAAACGGGGGATTTGAATTGAGATAATAAGCTTACAAAGTCATACAAGGCTGCTGGCCAACGAATTGCCATGGAAAAATGGCCAATTACATCCCTCCATAGTACCGATACGGCCGAACATGCTAGAGACGTCCGTACCAAGTCTCTCCAAAAGTGGCAATGTTCGTTTCTCCGTCGCAATTTGGTTTCCTGCTGGCTTCGACAAGGCGAATGGAAATTTCTTCAAGGTACCCGATCGAGGCACGTGTAGAATCGCATGGAGTACATCATCATCAACCTCAAACGTAGATGATGAATTAAGGTGCAGACCAACGGATTACTTCAGCATGCTTCCTAGCGGCAACATTCCAAAGGACGGACTCGATTTCTTCGCACAATTCCTATCCCACCTGCGAGAGGTGTGGCTAGAAATCTGTGATCTAGCTGAGCAACATTTGGCTGAATGTGTAAGTGAGGCTCTTACAATGACTCTATCGCATTATCTCATTTCTATCATGTCTAATTTAATCTACAGCGCATCAGTCAACTCGAAGAAAGAGGCAGTAACCGTGAGCTCATACTGAGGCTCGCGCAAAACGCGCGAACATGGGCTGATCTTCGCAAAATTCTGAAGGAACAAACAAGAACTGCCCACGAGTTTGCTTCCGACTACTCCTTTCGCTACAATGGAAACCAGGGCTCCGATGAGGTGGATATGTTGCTATCTGATTTCACGACTACAATAGGTGGGCGGCTTGACGGGCTCGATCAGACCGTAAGAGATCTGTTACAGCTGGTACGTTCCCTCGACGGATCTCCAAATGACCATTCCCCTTAGCTCATTTTGCAAAGGAATTCGCCTGGGTGTCGATACACGATGTTCATAGGTCGATCAGTATTGCTACAAGCACGAAACGCCTGAGCTGGATAACGGTATGAGATCCTCGCTGTTGTAGCAACTAGACGAGACTGCTTACACTTACAGTTCATCTTTCTTCCCGCAATGTTTACATCAGTGAGTCAATGCGGACCTGCGCGAACTTGTTTTAGACTAACGATGTTGTTATCAGAGCCTGTTTGGCATGAACGTCAATATCTTGAAAGACAACCCAGACTGGCGCTGGTTCTTCCTCGCTGGAAGCATTTGTCTGGTCTCCACCATATGCGCTTGGCTGATCTTCAAGTACTGTCCGGTCAGTTAGCTGTTCAACGCCCTCTGATCACACTAACAAACCCAATAGATTGAATCGTGGATAGAGAGAGAGGTGGGACAAAAGATACGGCGGGTTGCGAACGTTTCCGTACAAGTTGCCTCTGAACGAAAAGGATCAAATGAGCCGAAGAGGCTACCTATCTGAGTGGGCAACGACCGCAGAGCAGAGGGAAGTAGAATGCATCATCACATTGTCCTTTTAAAATGTCTAGAGTTATATCATCCACCAAAGAGAGACTCCACCCTAGGAACACCTTCGCTAGCCCTTGCCTTGAAAAAATCTTTGATGCATGCCTTCACCAGCCTGATATCCATAACCCTAGATACCCCCCTGTTCACCAAAAGAAGCCCGATGCAAAGAAGATGTTGTTACAAAAAGAGCAAACGTCCTTTTTGCTCTCAAAATAGAGCAGGAGAGAGTTTAGTCGGTGATCCTCCAGCTCTCGAACCACTTGAGGTGTTTCCATTGGCTGCTAGGTCCAACCATACCGAAGGAGATGGCCCTGAACAGCCAGTACAGGAAGATGGTAGCAAGGTACAGTACAGCAAAGATGCCCCACTGTACCTGCTTGTTCAACTTCCTTGTGGTGAAGTCCAAGCAGAAGCCCATAACGATGATGGCAAACCACAAAGCGGGGTAGTAGTGGTGCACATATGTGACACGGCCCATGGCGACGAATGGTGCGTAGTGGAGAGCCCAGCCAATGATGGGATAGATACCTGCGTAGTGGAACAAGTCGATTTCCGATTGCTTCAGGTCATTGAATCCACGTTGCCAGCGGACGACGTAAAAGAGGAGAAGAAGACCGAAAATGCCTAGCGAGGCAGTGCTGCCCCAGTAGACCAAGGGGTTACCTAGGAGGAAATACTTGACGACTGTGGTTATGTTAGTAACGGAACGAGGGCAAAGTGAGGTGCATGCTTACTGTCATCGTTCCAGCCGCACATGCGGAGACCGACATGGAGGATGGGCCATTGCCAGAAACTGGAGGCGAGGTCGTCTTGCTTGTCGGGGTCAGGGACAAGTGCGTTGTTAGATGTCATCATAGCAACATTAAGATGGATAAAGTCCTGGAGGAAGGGAGACTTGTAGTCACCAGGGTTGCCTGGCGGCAGTTTCTCGTTGGTGTGGCTTTCGATGTTCCAATGAGTGTAAACATCGCGAGGGTTGTTCTTCTTGACACAGGTTGTCTCGATCTGCTTGAAACCCCACTGAGGTAGGTTGACATTGCCAGCGCGGAGGTAGCAGCCCAGATCCTTGTGCTTCAGACGGAAAGCGGTAGTAAGCGTCCGGAGCTTGGAGTAGTCCCTCGAAGCAGCGTCGCGTACGACCTCAACAACCCAATGGTCCTTGGTGTCACCAACAGTTGTGTTGCCGTAGCAAGAAACTTCCCAATCACTCTTTGTAACAGGGGCAGCGACTTGGTGCGAGTGGAGGTTACGGCCAGTCTGGGCGTGGATCAGACGAATAACGTCACCGTTGCCAGGGTAGCGGAGCTCCTCTTCAGGATTGTATTCGACCTCGTGGCGGTTGGGGTAGAAGAACCAGTCGTTGTTGGCATCCTTGTGGTGGTAGCAAGTGATCTGCTGCTGGGTAGAGCCCTCGGGGTATGTCTGGACGTGAGAGTGGAGCAGTCCACCTCCGTATCCCATGTTCTTCAACGTGGTGCGGGAACCGTATGCGATTTCGAGAGGGCTGTTCTTGCCAACCTCAGTTCCTCGCAGGTTGGCTTGGAAGAGAGAGCTCATTTGCGCATCGCCGGGACCGCTGTTTTCGAGGATGATGAAGTGGAGGTAGAAGGAGAACATGTAGACGGCGAGGGGGATGAGGATCAGACTGAAAACGCGGAAAGCGAGATGCGTGGCTAGCTCGATCTGTACACGTTAGTTTGATAGCAGGCGATGGGTAATCTCACGTACCTTGGGCATCTTCAGGTCACCGAATTTGCGCCAGAGGTCTTCAATGGTGTACAATCCAACGAGAGCTGTGACGAAGAATCCAACCCACTTGACGCTGCATACACAACCAATTGAAACTCCGGTAAGCATCAGCCACAGACCCCACTCAGGAGAGAATGGGTCATGTTGCTGGCGGTGGAACTTGGACCAGCAGAAGACGGTAGTGAAGGTGAAGCATAGTAGCATAGAGTCAAGGAGGATAAAACGGCTGATAGTGGTGTACGAGTTCTCGCAGAGAACGGCCAGGGTGACGAACCATACGGTCGGACGGCGGAAGTTCAATTCTTTGGCGGTAAAGTAGGCCAGGGGAACGCAAACAGCACCAAAAGCCGAGTTGAAGAGGCGCATGAAGGTGTAGTTCAGCTCCGGGGGGTACGTTTCTCCGGACTTGAACTCGAACGAGCCATTGTATCCTGCGAGGTATCCGGACAAACCGACGAGCATCTTTCCGAGCGGTGGGTGGACATCGAAGTAGAACTCGCGCTTGAGGTAGTGTGAACCGAACTTGCCAAAGCTGCACCAAGTCAGAACTAGTCATGTGTGCGTCGGAGTTGATGGACTTACTGGGCTTCGTCCCAAGTGACGATTGGCGAGAGGCCAATCTTGTACATGCGTGTGAAGAAGGCGAAGAAGGTGAATATAAGAGGTGCCCAGATGAATTCGTAGTCGTCCAGGAAGGAGATGATGCTGAAAGGCTGCGGTTTGGTTAGCAACGAGTCCCTGCAGCCACCAGAATATTGACAGCTCTGATGCGGCTTGTACAAGATGGCGTACCTTGTCCTTTGACTTCTCCCTCTCTTGTGCCAGTGCAGCGATTGGCGCTGCGGCCTGTGATGGCGCGGCTACATTTCTCCTCCGCAGCTCCTCTGCTTGTGCATCGGCGCCCGTCGTGTGCGCAGTCGATGCCATGGTGATGGGCGGTGGCTGTTTCCCTGGTTGTCTCCAGATATTATCGCGAAGTCGTGAAGAAGGTGGAAGGGATTCGTGGCTTGAGGCTGGATTTGGTAGTAAACGGTTGGTCGGTACCACGGAGCTTGAGCGACTACGCGATGCAGTCGGTCGGTCGGTCGCAACACAACTCGAGAGAAGGGAATCAATTAAAAGTGGCCGTGGGCCGTAGAAGAAAAGCCCAAAGCAAGTGAAGGCATAAAAGGGAAGTTCACGGGGTGGGAGCAATGGAAGAATCTCCTGCGCTGCGAGATCGAGGAGGTGGGCTGTTCCCGAATTAGACTACAGTACGAGCAAAGGAAGCTAGAGCCCGGCCGCCGCATCAGGGCACGGGAGAAGCGACACCTGTTCACATCCATCACGTGAAGCCCACTATTCCATTCATCTGGCCCCAATCGCGCTTCCGAGGTGCCGTTGCAATGGTAATCTGCCTAGAGTAGTGGGTGGCTAAGCCGGGGAGGGGGGACCATCATTATGCACGTCACCAAAGCCTATTCCCTACATCATGCTATGCTGAGAAAAACATGGTAATTTCGTCTTGTGGAAGACGCCTTCCTCTAACCTACTCAACACACAAACAACAAACGCCCAAAATATGCCTCGCATACTCTACCAACCCAAAAACTTCGCTCGATGAGCCATTGGCCCGTGATATTGGAACATGCGCATCGCCTGTCTAGATGATGCAGATATACGTAGGAAATGCAAAATTGTCAACGTACACACCGTGTGTGCTCTAGTCCTCGTCTTGTCCGACCTGCTTGTACTTTCCGCTCGAGCTGTCGCCTTCGCCATTGCCCTTTGTCCTCTTGACCATGTTGCTGATCCAGCCACCAAGACCGTCGCCGTTCTCGGTATCCGCCTTGGCCATGTTCTTGTTGCCGCTCTCGATGTCAGGGGGGTCGATGTTGAGTCCAGGGATCGCGTCATCTTGCGCACGGCGTCCGCCTCGGATATCAAGCGAGGGCACAGGAGAGCCGCGACCTTCTCCGCTGAAGAGAGATTCGGCTTGCGCGAGAGTTTCCGGAGTGGGCATGACTGAAGTAGCGTCTCCGAATAGGGAGTTCATGTCTTCCAGACGGACGTTCGCAGTTTCGGGGTAGATGAAGTACACTAGATACAGTCAGTAAGTCGCTTTAGCCCACATTTTCCATCAAACTTACCAATGACAAAACTGGCTGCGCAGAAGAATGCGTGAATAAGGTACAATCGCCACTGGATGTGCTCCTGCAGAATCGGTGTCATTTCTCCAACCAGCCAGTTGAAAGCCCAGTTAGTCGCGGTACTCAGACTGGCACCCTTGGCACGAATGCTGAGTGGCAGGATCTCCGGTGGGTACAACCACGGAATAGGACCCCATGAGTATCCGAATGCGGCGTTGTAGATCATGACAAATATGACGACCATGTTGGGTGTCCAGGAAGCTTGCAGGAATTGGAAGTACGAAATGGCGGAGAGCGAAATCATCATCATAAGCGCTCCAGACAACAGAATCTTCCTGCGGCCTAGAGTGTCCACAATGTACCATGGCGGAATGGTGGATAGCAGGTACGTGATGGCGTTGATACCTGTCATCAGAATAGCTTGGCGACCGTACCAACCAGCCTCTTCGAAGACAAGCGGTGCATAGTACGAGATGACGTTGATGCCGTTGAGTTGCGCGAGGGCTTGGGCGGACATAGCAATGAAGACGCGTTTGGAGTATCGCTTGAACATGTCGGGGTATGATCGTTCACCTTCTTGACGCTGGAGCAGCACGTTCATCTTGATCTCTCGGTATTCATCTCGTGCTTTGGGGTTGTGAATATCGCCCTTTCCGTACAAATTGGCAATAACTACAATGCCCTCCTCGTCGTGATCGTTGTCCAAGAGCCATCTGTATGTGTCAGCAGATTCCAGGGGTTGAGATCATGGTACAAACCTTGGAGACTCGCAAATGAGCAAGCTTCCTGCGGCCAAAAGAAGACCCATGATGCACTGCATAAAGAGCGGGACTCTCCATGACCAGTCGCTTTTGATATAAGTGCAGAAGTAGTCAACCCACACACTGACTGCGTAGCCTGTGATATTGCCAGTGAACTCAATGCAGCCCATCTTTCCTCGGTTGTGGGGAGGCGAGATCTCGGACTGGTATACAGGGACGATGGTGGAGAGCGATCCGACACCAAGACCAGCAATGACTCGTCCAAGAAGCATCATGGGAATGCCCGTCGCGCAGGTCTGAAGAGCACCGCCTACGACGAAGATGAGGGAGCCGTACAAGATGGTCTTCCGTCTTCCAATCACATCACCAATGCGGCCCACGACTAGTGATGAGATGAAGGCACCGACTTCGAGGATAGCTACCATGGAACCGAGTTCGACGGCGGAAGGCTGGTTGAAGTAGTCCTTGAAGTAGATACCGCTGTCAGGCTGTTAGATACGGTCAAGGGCGGAGGGGTTCGCGACGGCGTACGTGATGATACCGGACATGACTCCCTGGTCATAACCAAACAGGAAGACGCCTAATGATACAAAGACACTTGTGAAGTAGCTGTTGCATTGCTGTTAGCTTGAGCACCCAGAGTTGGAATCTGTGCTGCATACATCAGCTTCTTGCCGTGTAACCCGTGGATACGGGAGGGCCCATCGTTGGGTGCCATGATTTTGGCTAGTATCTTCTCTGCCTTTGAGATTGTTCGTGGTCCCGGGTCGGGTATCTCAATGTCTTCCAGGCGAAGGCCGTGGGAGCCCTTCTCGTGCAGGTCCTGGGAGGCAAAGCGAGCTCGCTTTTGCTTTTTGCCTGGCCTCGATGAGTTGCCGGCTTCGAGGTTGATGCGGAGCGGATCTTCCCGGTCAGCTAGCTGGTCGACGAGGTCACCAGTGTCGCTCCAGACGGAAAGGTCGGAGTCGGAGGACGGTGTGTCAAACGAGGACCGCGCGCTGTCCTTATCGTGGTCGTCGAGCAGATAAGCGGAATCGTGGTCTCGCGGACGGGCAGAGGACGAAAGGTTGTGGAGCGGGATGTTGGCAGGCCTCCTGTTGCTGTTCGAGTAGGAAGGAATGGTGAAGGTGGCAGGCTGTTAGGGAGCAGCCCGACTCCAAGGTGGTGGGTGGATGGGAGAAGGAACGAAAAGGCGGCTCGCTGGGGGCACGTCACAGGGTCAAGCAGCCGAGACGAGGGATGTGGTAAAGCTAGCGCAAGAGCGGTGAGAAACTCGGTCACATTGGGCTACAGTGGAAAAAGACAGTGGGCACGATAGCGCTTCGTGATCAGAGATGCTGGAGCTGCAGTGCATGCGAACGAATGTAGGTCCCTGTCCGGGCTGCGCTGCCGGGGGCACTTGGCGGGAAATGGTGCTTCTTCCTGCTCGGTCCGAACATGCTGCGATTGGAGCTGCTGTCGAGTGCGCGGCGTGTCATGCACGATGATGTACACGCACAGGACCGCCTTTGTTTGTTATCTTGACTGAGCCTGATGGACATGTACGCATCGCCATGTTCTCGCCATCGCAATCGCCTGCCGTTGACAACATGGCTTGACAGCTACCCTTAGATCCCGCGGTGCAGCACAAGACTCCGGCACAGTAGCTCACGAGGCTCACACTACGCCTTGAAGGGGCCGACTAAAAGTGCACCACCAACCTTCCGCCATGTACGGGGCCTTCCTGGAGTGGAGGCGGGTCACGTTGGGGTCTTGGTCTCGACGATTGGAGCCCCGCGTGGAGACTGACTGCAAAGCGGAAAGATAGCCGCGATCAACTTCGCACAACGCATGCGGTGTGTGGATATTCGTGTAGTAGTATTCGTGTAGTGAGAAGGATGCAGTCTTGACTAAGCCGCAACAAGAAGCACGAGGCTACAGGACGACGTGTGGGCGGAGACGCAGAGCCACATGGTGCAGTTCTCGTGATGATCAAATAGCAGGGCACCGACACGTTCTCGCATGCTTCGCTTCGCGCGTAAAACGTGGGCTCGTGGAGACTGCCAAAATAGGTGCTTTTCTTCAGTGTATACTATGTATAACGCGGCTGCTTTTGATGATGATGGATTAGACTTGTTTTTGATCGCAGACGCTCGTGCTCGAAGCATTTAATATACCCAACGCGTTCACGCGTTTCTAATCTCCCCCAAACCTATCGTCGAGTTACTATAGTTACTAGCGTTGAAACAGAAAACCGTCAAGGCCCATCCAATCGACACAGTAGACGCCGGAGGCCCTCCTGACGTTTACAAGCTGCAGCTTCGCTTCAAGGACGAAACACGCAGCTCTCGCGGCCCCCAGGCCAACCTGGATACAAACACGGCGGTCAACGATCGAGGTCAGCAGTGGCTGGAATAGAGTTGTGTATTAGAGTTGTGTATCACAGGAAGGGTCGGGAGTCGAGCAACGCAACGACGCAGCAAGGGCAAGTCAATACAGTGAATGACTCCATTGTACCACCGGTAGAGTCGTTGTGCGTCATGCTGGATTTGACACATCAAGGCCCATGGCGCTCTGCCGCTGGATGCACATTGATCTACGGGCCCCCTTTCTCAAACGTACTAGCGCCGTCTATGCGCTACCTCTGATTGGGCACATCTGAGATTAACGTGTTTGTTCGGCATCGTGGTTCCTCGTTTCTTGCTTCTGACGAGGGCCGGAGGAGATTCGCTTTGTGTGTTTCTAGAACTGTCACCGGGCATCCCTCACTATAATCGCTGTCGCAAAACCCAATTCAGGCCATCCATCGCAGGGGGTTGGCTTAGCGGAGAGAGACGATTTGGGACCAGTGAGATTGTGCAGCCACAAAATCACCCGCCCGCACGCCCTGGTAACCAGACATCGAAAGCTGGAAGGCTTGGCTTCGTGCATTGTTTCAAGGAAGCTCCCCCAGCCACAACCACATACGCTGCAGCGCATCATCTCTCTCCGCCGCAATCACCTCTCGATTCGCTTTCACCTCCACTTCCTATCGTGGTTGCGCCAATCTCCCTCGCTATCTATCGCAGCGCTCACAGCCTGATAACGATCGCTCCCCACAACAAAGGGCACCTGAAGGCAAGGCTGAGGCTCCGCTGCCCGAAACGAAAAAGACATGTCAAGATACGGCAAGTTCGATGACTTTTGTCGGGACTCTGGAAACAGCTGGTCAACTCTGCCGGGTAAAACAAACTCACGATACCTATCTTGTTGTCTATACTAACGCGCGACAGTTTGTTATGTATGTTGCGATCGCTGCACCCCTTTGCCCGCCCATTGTTCGTCGACGCGACGCTAACCCATGCTCCACAGCTCTTCAACCCAGCTTCGACAATAGACAACAACGGATGGCAAGATGGCTGCACCCTGCAAGGCTTCCCTGTGGGTGGAGGTGACCGGCTGCACAATTTGGGTACGAAGCATATGCGCATTGTGACGATGTTTTGCTCACACCACCAGGATCCATAATCATCTGCGGCATTGCAATCCTCACCACCCTGTTCCTGCTATGGAGATCGCAAAGAAAGAAGGCTGCTGTAGGACGAAGGTGCGCAGTCATCCACGCGCATTGAGATTGCACGGCTAACAGCTCGCAGAGAAATGCAGCTCTTCCTCCTCGGCTACATCGTCATATCCATCTGCGAAATCTTTACTATTGGCGGATTCCCCCTCAACAGCACTGTGCGCATTGTATGTACTCAGTCCTGCATGTCGGAATGCAGAGTCTAATCTCACTACAGGTCTTTGTCGCTATCCACATCGCTGCCATCACCGCCACGTCCTGGATCCTCATGCTCAACGGCGCCGTTGGCTACCAACTACTTGACGACGGCACGGCAGTATCCATCGGTCTCCTCTTAATCTCGTCGCTTGTCATCTTCATCGGAACCGGTTATATCGCCCTCGATACTGGACTCAACTGGACGGGTTACTGGGAGGACACTCGCTTTGTACCAAACCAAGCCTACGCGCTGTACACCCTCTACCAACTCGTACCACTAGTCTTCATCGTCATCTTCTTCTGTCTGGAGGCCTTCCTGGTGCTGCGCATTCTCGGCGAGCGCAAGCCAATGCGTAAGGAATTATCAAATCTTGTATACAGCTCGTACTAACTCGTCCCAGTATATCTGCTTGCCGCTGCTCTCCTCTTCGCCATTGGCCAAATCTTCCAATATGTCATCAGCGTCCACATCTGCAACGGCACCGACGGCAAGATCAACGGAGGTCTCTTCTCAACCCTCTTCACCCTCCTATCAGTAGTAATGATTTGGGTGTTCTGGTCGAGCATCACCGAAGACGACTGGCCTATGCCAACCGTCGCTGGTTCAGGCGCGTATAATTAAGAGTCGACCATCAGGGGTTGACTGGTAATCTCGGGGCTGTACAGGCAGCGGCGGCGTAATGTTCTTATGATGGCTTTTGCCCGACATAGCGTATACCATTTTGGGGCTCCTTGGACGCATTTGATGCGTCATGCTGACTTGTGCTACGATATATATAATGTTTGCTGAATGGAATCTATCTGATATTCAAGACCTGTCTTCACATGCAAAACATGAACATGAAAACGTGAGAGCGCGTCGAGCCTATCACGTGTGAGACACGCTTCCGCCCATGTGGATCCAAGATCGTCAAGTGAACTCACCACCATCCAAACACTCGGTGCCTGCCACAATTTAGTGAAACTGTAGCTGACGATGAGGAAGCTTGGACTGACATCTTCCGTTGTATCTGCCACCATCCAACGTCACATATGAAGCTTATTACATCATAACATCGGTCTTTCTTGCGGCACACGACCCTGCTTTGACGGACACGCCCGAGACCGAATCGTGCGCATCGTCCATTTGAAGTCCACACGTACAGCCTCGCATCCCAGCACGACGGTCACAGCTGCGATCGCTCGCCATCCAACGACCGCCGGACCTGCAGACCCACGCGCATACAATGGCCGATTCGGATTACGATTTCGATGACGAGAGTTCAGCCGACGAGTACGTTGGTGCGAAGAGCGGTACTTCAAGCACACGCGCACAATCTTCGGCGCCTGGCAAGAGGCGGAAAGTAGAGGCGCCTGTGAAGGAACCGCCAAAGCGGCAGGCATGGGAAACAGAATACTCGCGGACGGTCCAGAAGACGATAGAACCGGCAGACGATGGCACACTAGGACAGAGCGTACAAGAACGGGAAGAAGAGAGGAAGCGCAAAAGGTTACGGAAAGATACAAAGCCTTTCCAGCGAGGTATCATACGTCACGTCGTCCTGGTGCTTGATCTGTCAGAGGCCATGATGGAAAAAGACATGCGGCCCAACCGATACATCACGATGATCAACTACACACAAGACTACATCCGCGAGTTTTTCGAACAAAACCCTATATCGCAGATGAGCGTACTGGGTATGCACGATGGTGTCTGCATACGAGTCTCGGAGCTCTCGGGCAACCCAGCAGAACACGTTGCAGCGATACAAGGCCTGAGAAGCAAAGATGACGGCAAAGAGCCCAAGGGCGCGCCCAGTTTGCAGAACGCATTGGAACTGGCAAGAGCAACATTATACCACACACCAAGCCACGGCACGCGAGAGGTCATTGTTGTCTTTGGGAGCTTGTTGAGTTTAGATCCGGGTGATATACACCAAACAGTCAAAGCCTGCGTACGAGACCGAATACGTGTCAGCGTAATTGGTATGGGCGCGCGCCTCAAGATCTGCACAGAAATTGTCACTCGGACAAACGCTGGTGATGAATCCGAGTACACAATCGCAACCGATCAGGAAATGCTCAAGGAGCTCCTCCTCGCCACTACAACACCCCCCGTAATCCGTACAACAGCACCGGCAGTCGCAGCACCAGCCGCTCCGCAAGCCCCAGATCCTTCCTCCGCCGCAGCACTCATGATGATGGGTTTCCCATCCCGTGTAGTAGAAGACCAACTAACCATGTGCGCATGCCACGGCAACCTCACAATGGGAGGTTACACCTGTTCTCGCTGCAGCGCAAAAGTCTGCTCCTTACCTATCACCTGCCCCTCCTGCCAACTCACCTTGCTCCTCTCCACCCATCTCGCGCGATCTTACCACCATCTTTTCCCCCTCCGCAACTGGTCCACAGTATCCTGGTCGCGCGCCCGCGAAAAGGGAAGTAAGCAGTGTGTGGGCTGTCTAGCTTCCTTTAGTGATCCGCCAAGCAGCAATAATGAAAGAAGTGAGGCGGAACAAGACGGCGAGGTCAACAAAGAGAAGAGGGACGAAGAGGATAGCGAAGAGCAGAAGGCGTCTGAGAGCGGGAGGTATGAATGCAGGGCTTGTGAAAGTCACTTTTGTATCGATTGTGATATGTTTGCGCATATGGTCCTGCATAATTGTCCTGGGTGTTTGGGGAGGTTGGATCCGGGGGCTGTTGTGCAGGCGAGTAACGGAAATGGGGATGTCGAGATGACAGGGTGAGAGATACTCCGTCTTCTTTGGGGAACACGGGTCTGGCACAGAAGGTATAGATGTCTAGATGTCTAGTAATGAAAGATGGAACGTAGAGCGGATACCCGGTGCGCTACGAACAAAGCGCATATTGTACAGAAAAGACGACGCTGTCAAGATTATCCTTTCCTTATGTCTTTTGTATTGCAGATCCGAGATGTTGGACATTTCATCAATCTCGTAACAATCCATTGTCGGGTACAACGCGTTCATGCTCTCGTTTCGACAATCTTCACACAAAAAGATCCCGTCGATTGCACTTCGGGAAACGGACATCTCCACATCCCAATGCCGAACGTCGACCCCGCGACGCGAACGTGGGGCAAATCGCCCGAACTCCACAACGCGCCTCTTGCATCAACACTCTTGACTGCTTCATAAGCTTTTTCCTTATCCCTGACTCTATGTTCGCTAGCTCTCTTGTACGCTGCACACGTACTACTGCTACATCATCTAGATTGACTTCTTTCGTTCCAAGGTCACAGTCGTTGTTATTGCCATTCCGAGTGAACTATCTCAGTACAACGACAAGAGCGATGTCGGCATTTGAGCGATTGATCCGTTTCGAGGATAAAGATGGGAAGACAGTGTATGGAAATTTGGAAAAGGAAGTTCCGACAAAGGAGATTGAGGGGAGCAGTGTAGAAGTTCTGGAAGGAGATGTCAAGAGTGGGTTTAAGAAGACAGGTCAGAAGACCACTGTCGGAAAGGTATGTATTCGCATGTCCATTGAGGAGAAAATTAGAGCTCTTGGGAAAATCTGACGGGAAAACAACATAGCTACTATGTCCTCTCCCAACAACAAACATTATCCTCTGCGTCGGTCTCAACTACCGCCGCCACGCGGAAGAATGCAATCTCCAGATCCCTTCCAACCCAGCCATCTTCACTAAACCATCTGACGCCCTCGCTGGTCCCCTAGAAGACATCCCCATCCACCCCTCCTGCCAATCCCAACTCGACTACGAAGGCGAACTAACCCTCGTCGTCTCCAAGGACTGCAAAAACATCGCAGCAAAAGACTATGCCGACTACCTCCTCGGCTACACAATCTCCAACGATGTCTCTGCGCGGAACTACCAGTTACCCGCTTCTGTATCCGGCGGCCAGTTTGGATATGCAAAGTCTTTTGATAAGTTTGCGCCGGTAGGACCGTGTATTGTTTCGCCAAAGTTGATTCCCGATCCGCAGAAACTGAAGTACTGGACCAAAGTCAATGGGGAGAAGAGGCAGGAAACTGGCACTGATGATATGATCTTCAAGGTGGGTGAGGTGTTGGAGCATTTGAGTCGGGGGACTACGTTGAGGGCTGGAACTGTCATTCTGACGGTAAGTTGAAACTGTATGAATTGCAAGTGAGACATGTACTGACTTTGTGTTTTCACTTCTACAGGGCACACCGAGTGGAGTGGGACTGTTCATGGAACCGAAGGGTTTCTTGAAAGATGGAGATGAGGTGGAGGTGTACGTCGAGGGAATCGGGAGTATCGTTAACAAGATGAAGTTTGAGTAAATGAAGAAGTGGCGAGTTATATCAGCAAGTGTAAACTTGCTGTAAAGCATACGACTTCTGCTGCGCATTGTACTCACAAAGAAAATTCATACTTCTATCTGTTTGGTGTAACTACAATCCTCACGGACCTGACAGACCAATATTGCCACCATGTTTGTAATCTTCCACTAAAGTAAGAACCAGTCAAGGGCTAAGCTCATTCAGGGAAAAAAAAAATGATAGCCCACACTACATCGCGAACTTCCATACAGAATCAGAAAGCCGCAATGTATACTGTTGATGTATCCGAACCTCCTCCAGTTGCCAGCCAAAAACCTCAGCCACACGCGGCAGCCATACACCCTCGAGGTTTCTAACCCACCTACATGGCATGCCACCAATGCTCGCATCTTCGAAAACATCTTGTGTTTCAGCCTGCTCTCTAATCATATCTTTGGCGACTTCTCTCAGGTTGACTAGATGAGTAGAATCGATGCGGAAAATGAGTCCGAAATTATCTGCAAAATATTGTCCGGCTCTGTGTATTTGAGCCTCGATGTTGCCATTATAGATTATAAATTGGGGATTTACCTGACGCATCTGATGCCAGATGTGGATGACGATGGTTCGCGATGAGACTGGGTTCGTACACATGTCTAGTGAGTAATAGTACGAGCTGTCTGAATAATATCCCGCCGCGAAGACGGGAAAATCTGGAGGTTTTATGAAGAGAGCTCTACGACAATTGGGGCAGGTGTTTAATTGCTCTCCATTAGTGTAGGTCCATCGAGTGAGACAGGATAGGCCGAAGATGTGTTGGCATTTTGTGCGTACTGCTATGTGATGTCCTCTATCAAAGGCCCCGTGACAGATATCGCAAGTCCCGTTCAAATCGATATAGGAGCTGCCAATATCGGCGAGGAACCGGACTCTGGTAGGAAGTGGTGTTGGTGATGACATGGTTATGGTAGTAGACTGTGTCGGTTGACGAGGTCCAGGTTGAATTTACAACAGGGTGGGTAAAGCATATATTAAGCAGGTCTTGAGTTTGCTGTAGTATATTGTTTGGGCATGGATGTTGTTCTTCTTGTAAGTCATGAGTGAGTTTGTGTAAGCAGTGAGACACAGTCAAAGTGGACAGATGCGGAATCCTTGGATGGAGAGTTGTCTAAACCTGAATGCCTAAAGGTCTGTACAAAGAAGAGAATATCACTGTGGTTTGCAGCAGACGTGCCAAGTGTGTATCTTTCTCCCTAATCACACTGACTGATGTTTGTAGTTGGTGCTGAGACGCAGAGGGCGTGCGTCATGCCCACGAGACGCTAGTGCCCACGCTAATTTCGCAGTTACGTTGATGGCAGGCGACCAAGTGCCCAAACCATCAACTTTGAAACAGCACAACGAAAGAACCCAAATCCATCTCCCTTTTCAGACACGCGACCTACGTGTAGAAGTCACGGGAATCACCAACGCAACCAAAACAAATCACAACAATGGCCTCGGAAGTAGTCAACAAGCTGCAGAACCTGGTCACAGGGGAGTCGAAGAGCGCTCGCAAGAAGAAGGCCAAGCAAGAAGGGGCTACGGCAGTACCAGCAGCGCCTGAGCAGACCAACTCTGAGGCTGGTGCAGGCGGCTCCAACCCCGCCGGCAAGGCCAATGGATCCGACAGCGACAACTCGTACCTCCGCGAGGTCCAGAAGTAAGTCGCAGCCGCATTGTGGTTCAGACACCATGATTGCTACAACATATCAAGGACTCACTTACTAAGACGCGCTCGCGTAGGAACATCCGTAACATCAACAAGAAGCTGGTAAGATGACAGTCCCGTCCAGCCTTTACCCCACCTACCCTGGCTTACACCGTGTCTGCAGAGCGCAACCCAGAAGGTCGACTCGATAATCGCAGCGAACCCCGGCGTTTCTCTCGACGACCTCCTCGCCTCCAAGAAGATCAACGCCGACCAAAAAGCCCAAGCCGAGAGGAAACCCGGCCTTCAGGCTCAGCTTGCGCAGTACGAAGAACAATACACCAACTACAAGAAGTACGGTGATGAGCTCGAGGCCAAGTTCGCGCGCGAGAAGGAGGTCCTGTCCAAGTCACACTTGTCGGAGCTGGAGACATTGAGGGGTACCATCAAGGCCGAGGCACAACTCGAGCAGCAGAAGATTGTCAAGGACAAGTTGCTGACACTGTCCCGCTTCTTGAGGGCCGCGGCTGCTCGTCGTCAACTTGAGGACGATGACTCTGACCTCACCAAGGCTTTCGAGGGCGCTCTCCTCCAGGTCTACGGAGGAGATGCCGGCGCTGTCATGGCCGCAGAGAAGCTGATCGAGGGTGCGGAAGAGGGAGTACCATCTACTGAGGGTGTGGTACTAACCGTTACCTGTAAGTTCCAAAGCACATTGAGTGCGTCGCTTTAGACTGACTTTCTCTAGACTCCCAAGTCAAGCAAGCAGCACTCGACGAGGCTCCATTCGCCGCTGAAGAGGCTTGGGTCGACGACGTTGCGCAGTCCCAAGCAGCTGCCCCAGAGACTGAAGCTGTGTCCGACCCAACTATCGCCAACGCTACTCTCACTGAGATGGAAGCCGGCGCGAAGCCTCTTAACGAAACCACAAATGACGCCTCAGCTGCACCGGCAGCTTCCGGTATCGGAATGGAGTCTGCCAACGCTGCTGCAGAGGCTCAATGGGACAAGCAACCCACTGGCGGTGATGACCCGCTCACCGAATCCTTCGAGATGGTACCACGAGACCCCGCTGAGACTGAAACACCACACGCCGGTGCTGCCGTAACCAGCACCCAGAGCTGGGCCGACGATACCCCCGAGCCAAGCGCGGCACCTGCCGCTCCCACTCCCGCTGACGATGGCTTCTCTCAAGTTCAGCACAACCGCGGCGGCCGGGGACGAGGTGGACACCCAGGTGGTGAGCGAGGTGGATACCGTGGCAGGGGTCGAGGCGGTCCTCGGGGCGATTTCCGCGGTGGTCGCGGACGCGGTGGCCGTGGAGACTTCAGGGGTGGGCGCGGCGGTTTCCGCGGCGCTCCCCGTGGAGGAGAATCGTCATAGAGTCGATCAACACTTCCTGCAAAACGACCAGCACTTTTGGGGAACACTGATTGTGTAAGCAATCTTTGACACTCTATCTGGAGCATCTGAGCAGATGAAATAATGAAAGAGCTGGCAAGCCTATTGTGTTTAGTAGCATAGCATCGGTGCATAGGATCAACATTTTCTCGGGTATGGGACGCTGTACTATATTCTGGGTATGATCTGGCGCTTAATGAATGGCTTGTACAACATCAATTCTTCTCACTTTGAGTGATTGTCTTCGTGGTCTGTGTTGCGTCACTGTCGTGGAGAGATGGACGTTGTGCTAGAGCCCAGACAAGACAAGGGATGACGATGACTGAGCGGCTGCCCCTGGCAGTAGCCGCGTGTCGATCCGGGGAATTTTCATGGAGGGACGCGCTGGCTCGTCATGTTTTCCGATTGGCGAGTGGAGTACGAAGTGTCGGTGTGGAGGTGCAACGCTCACGCTTTCCCAGTATCATGACCATACCAAGAAAGACATGGATTGTCATGCCTCAGCATACGCACTTCTCTTTCTGAAGCATCCATGGCTAGGTTCTCCCCGGTTTGTCTGAGCTATTGCTTTGCTTCCATGACTCGTACTGATAAGACTTTCAAACTTGACATCTGTATCTAGCAGGTTGTCCTACTCTACGAAAGCAGCCTTAGTATCAATCTGAGCACCTTGACTTGTGAGGCGAGTCGCACCAAGGTTGTGAAGATACCCCGACTTCACTATCGCACTGAGCTGTCCACACGTTGCACTTCACGCCACCGTCAACCGACAGTGACGTACGGCACTGCAACAGTGGATTCATATGACTCTAGAAGCCGTATGATCATAGGAATCCTTCTCCCGCTCGATACCAGTTGTCTCGACTTCCCACGTTGTTAGTGAGGCGCGGCCCTATTCACCCATATGGCGGCGTGATGCACGAACTAGCGGGTCTCTGCAGCCGTTTGAACAGCGCCAGTCAAAAAAGCTTAGCCCCACAGATTCAGGAACTATGTTTCACATACGACCTACTTTGGACTTTTCTTCCCCTGTGGCTGTGTTGCAGAACTGCATGCCGAAGGGATAGACTGTCCAGTTTTTGAAGTAAGACAGAAAAACGAGAAGCTAGTGGTATGCTCAGTGAGTTTTGTGACTATATTCATCTCGACTTGTTGTGTCGGCGATCGCATGGTGGACAGGTGGGAAGCAAGGGGAGGATCTGATAAGATGAGATCTGTAGATGTGGCCTTGGATGACGTGCATGCCAGTTACGGCGCACAACACCTAGCGCGTCTTGCGCGTAGCAGCAAACGCAGAATGAATGCACCCTGAGCTACAGGCGCACGACTCATAGGATATGACTATTGTGGGCTCAGAACATGCGCAGCCTATTACAGCTGGAGACGTTTTAGCAGATGCTGTCCAGGTGTTGTCGCAACTGCCCATTATCAGCCGATGAGTGACAGGGGTGGTTGCGCTTAACGCCTAGCGCAGACCCACGACCTGCAACCTCCTCACCCTCGCCTTCGCACCTCCCCCAGCGTCATCTAGCGACTACTACCCCCGACGCCGGCAATAGCTCATATTGACAACACTACAAGCCTTGTGGACCTCCTGCGCTGTCGGGAAAATTGTTGCGATACCAATAGATCAACGCGCGCCCGCCCTGGCGGAGAAGCGACGCATGGCAACAGCTCCACAGCCCCTCTGAGACCACTACGACTCGAGTAACAACTACGTTCACTATGGAGGCACCCCCAGATGTCGTGCCTTCCGTCGAGGCACCGCTCGTTACGCCCGATGACTCCACTACCAAACCGGCTCTAACGCCGCCCACGAGCGAAGACAACGACAAGCGATTTGAGAGGATGTCGTCCGAACTCTCAGAACTTGACAGCGATGACGGGGAAGACATCGAACCCGATCATTACTTTGAAGGAGGAAAAATACCAGTGTTCAAGCCGGTAAGTCCCCAAGAGGCATGCGAGTACTTATTCTGTGACGAGAAGCATGCGCGCAAATGTTGTTATGAATATGACGCGCCGGAAATAATATACAGAATACTAATTGCTGCTTGAATAGACCATGGACCAGTTCCGCAACTTCAAGCGCTTCATCGATAAAATTGACAAACATGGAATGAAGTCCGGCATCGTTAAAGTTATTCCACCAGCAGAATGGTAAGTATTGAATAAGTTCCGGTTGCATAGCCTTTCCAACTTATCCGATAACAGGCGCGAATCCCTTCCCGATCTCACCGAAGCCGTCAAGAGTATCAAAGTCAAGAACCCGATTACGCAAGAATTCGCTGGACAGCACGGCATATACACGCAAGCCAACATTGAGAAACAACGGTCATACAATCTGCCGGAATGGAGAGCCGTAACGGATGAGCCACATCACCAGCCTCCGGCCAAGAGAGGCGAACGTCGGAAAGCTGCTGCGGAAGCCCCATCTCGTACCCGTTCGTCTCGCGCGGCGCCCGCAAACCGCGATGCCTCGCCTGCTCCTAAGCGCGGACCCGGTCGACCATCGCGCAGACGCCAGGTGAAGAAGGAGCCAGTCGAGGATGAGGACGATGACGAGGAGGAGCTTGAAGTTCCGCCCACACCCACTTCGCCCGGAAAGGAAGAGAAGAAGACGCCTGCGAGGAGGATCAAGAAGGAAGCGCGCGATACACCACCTGCTAGGGCGCGCGGTCGGCAAGCTAAGACCGCTGACGAGAAGAAGTCTGTTTCTTCTCGACGCCTGAACAACCGTGGCGCAGTGGCCGACTACATCGACGAGGCTGCCTTTGAGGACTTTGATTACCACCTGCCTGGCCTGGAGGAGTACACTGTCGAACGATGCAAAGAACTCGAGGACAATTACTGGAAGACGATCAACTATGGTTCGCCCATGTACGGAGCTGATATGCCTGGCTCGTTGTTTGACGACTCGACCACCTCTTGGAACGTTGCAAAGCTGCCCAACCTTCTGGACGTCCTTGGAACCAAAGTGCCCGGTGTTAACACAGCCTATCTCTATCTAGGTATGTGGAAAGCCACTTTCGCCTGGCATCTGGAAGATGTAGATCTCTACAGTATCAACTACATACACTTTGGTGCTCCCAAGCAATGGTATAGCATATCCCAAGAGGATGCTCGACGCTTCGAAGCTGCCATGAAGACCATCTGGCCGAACGACGCGAAACATTGCTCGCAATTCCTTCGTCACAAGACCTACCTGATCTCTCCCCAGCGCTTGGAGAGGGACTTCAATATCAAGGTCAACCGTCTGGTACATTACGAGGGTGAATTCGTCATTACGTATCCTTATGGTTACCATTCGGGTTACAATATCGGTTACAACTGCGCAGAGTCGGTCAACTTCGCAAACGAGTCATGGCTGAGCTATGGACGAATCGCGAAGAAGTGCATGTGCGAATCTGACAGCGTATGGGTCGACGTGAACGAAATCGAACGCAAGCTCAGAGGCGAGCCAACACCAGAGTACTACGAAGAGACTGACGACGAAGAAGACGACGACGACGGTGCGGATCGTTTACCCAGCCCTCCAGCCAGTGTTGCCGGCAAGACCAAAGCAAAGCCAGGACGCAAGTCAGCCGGCAGCAAAAGAAAGCGTGGTAAGGAGGATCCCAAGGAGACGTCGAGACCCAAGAAGCTCAAGCGCATTCGCATCCGTATCAGGATTCCAGGTCGGGGTATGCCTTGCATTCTCTGTCCTAACGATGTCGAGTTCGATGACCTGCTGCCGACAGACACAGGCATGCAGGCTCACCGAATCTGCGCGGACTACACGCCTGAAACCTACATTGTCAACAAAGGCGATGTCGAAACTGTGTGCAATGTGGCCAATATTGGCAAGGATCGCTTGGAACTGAAGTGCAACTACTGCCGATCCAAGCGCGGCGCTGTCTTCCAATGTTCGCAAAAGAAATGTACCAGGGCTTTCCATGCTACGTGTGCAGTAGCAGCTGGTGTCCAGGTCGACCTTGGTCCTATGCCCACTTTTGATGAAGAGGGTACGGAATACTTTTACGATGGCTATGACTTCCGATGCCGCTTCCACCGACCGAAAAAGCGGAACAACAAGACCGTCGATGTGGATGCACTGGAGAAGGACAAGTTTGTCTTAGCCTATGGCAAAACACTGAAACCCAAGGATGTCATCCAGTTCCAGTATGTGGGCGGTGAGATGTACCAAATCTACGGTGCACAGGTTGTGGAGAACAGACCTGGCGAGCAGGCTGTACTGGTGGATGTATTACCTGACGGGTATGTAGTGCACATCGCTGATCGTTTTAGCTTGCTAACAGTGTACAGTGATCGCGTCGAAGTTGAATGGAAGTACATACTCAAGCTTCACCCCGACGAATCGCAGCGGCCGAAACCGTCTGCAAACGCCAAGCCGCTTCCTGAACATCTCAAGGAGAGTGATGCATCTCTTGACATCGCAAATCGCACCGATGGTGTACCTGAGATGGGCGACCCTTTCCACGACCCTAACTCTGAACACAAGTGGGCTGAATGGCACACTGCTCCTGAAGTTACTCGGAAGCTGGCAAAGGTCGACCTGAGCAAGGAGGACCGCCTTTGGTATTACCTCGGGAAGCCTTCTACTGAGGCTAGACCCCAGTATACTGAGAATCCTGCGAAGCCAAGGAACAACCCTAAGAGCAACTTCCTCGACACCGTGAAGCCACCCCCACCCCCAGTACCAGCTTTCCACCGGACTTCGTACCCTGCCTCATATCCGATTAAGCCTGCTCTAATCGCGGTGCCTCCTCGTACGCCGATGCAATATACAACGCAAGATGGCCGGCCGTACGCCTACAAGCCGAAAGAGTCAGCGTCGGGGGCCTGGAGATCGCCGGTGTACAACCCTGACACTCGCAAGAATCCCAATTCGCCGGTAGCACATCAGCCCAACGTTAGCTACGATCACCGCATGCCACAAGGCCAGTACGGACCACAGTCATACCAAGGCTACCACTCCCATCGACCGCCGCAATCTTCGCAACAGCAAGCTCAGTATCAACCATATATACCGCCACCAAACGGCTCTACTCCCTCATGGAAAGCACAGCCGACGACATCCGGGCCCTTGCTCAATGGAATCGACAAGTATGCACAGCCAGCATCGCAAAGCAACGCCCTGCCACCATACCCGTACTCTAACAGCCCTCATGGCCAGTTACCGCCCTCGCCATACTCGCCGGTCGTGGGACAGAATGCTGCTCAGTTGTATGGCCAGCCAAGCGGTCAGACCCAGGCGTCGCAGCATGGTCGCTCCTCGATCTCCAGCATGCCGAGCAACCCTACTGGGACTCCCAAACCTCCAATGTACGCCGTCACACCCTCCTCTAACATTATTTACGCTGCCCAATCCCCCACTGAGTACTTGAATTACGTCATGAACTTCCCCTACCTCCGAAACTGTTATCTGCGAAGGACAAAAACTTACATATCACCCTATAGTCTGGACGGTGGGATCACACCTGAATGGATGCCAAAGCCGCCCATGTCGAGGGGTAGCGGTACACCTACTTCCATTGCACCAAGGCCTATTGCACCACATGGAGCTGCGCCTTCTCCCGTGTACGGTGGACCGCCGCCAACGGGCCTCCCTGCACCAAGGCCATCAGCACAGTTCCAGTCTCCGGACGCTTTCCAGCGCGAGATGAACAGGACGACTTCAACCCCCGAAGCACCAAAGTGGGAGCAGATGCTTAAGCAGCTCGCTACGTCAACAGGCTCCACAGCCACGCCTTCCATGACTGCGCGCTCGCCACAGGCACCACAACCACGCTACCCGCCCACGGGCTCCCGGTCTAGCATGTCGAACGACTTACCCAGGAGTATGCAGGTGTCTCCGGCTCAAGCCTCGCCTCTACCGCCACCACGTGAGCCACAGCGACCGACACCTAGCCCCATCAGCGATGATGGCAAAAGTGGTCTTGTAGCTGTACCGAGAGAAGAGAAACCTGTTCTGCCTCCTCTGCAGCCTGCATCGGCGTCGAACGTGCATGGGGCGGAGACGTGGAGGTACTCCTCTTAGGGGATGCGATGTGCATATATGGGGGCGTTTTGGTGAAACTAAATGTATTGTTATGACCATGTATGATTATCGCCAGGGTAGCTAAGGCGTTCTTGATGGGAAAACGGCATGGTTTGCCACGGTTTCTCTTTAGTACAACACGATCCGGACGGAATATGATAATGTTTCTCGCTGAAGTTTTGTTCATGAATGTTCAGCTTTGTGCAGTCTGAAGAATGCCATGTGTTTGCTTGCCTTGTAATCCGGGTGAACACGTTATATAGAGAAGGATGATATGTGAAGTCGTCCATCTCGTATCTCGTCATGCTAAATGTGCTGTAGTAGGTGCTTGCATAAAACCGACCAACTAGATGGAATGCAAAGAACAATAACAATAAAGTGGTGCAAGCAGACCAAAGATCCAGTAGGTTTAGACACTACTCTTGGCCCTTGGACATGCAGCCTTAGATGAAATCTAGTATCTAGTTCCTTTGAGTTCGTTGCGCACTGTGGCCAAAAAAAAAACATCCGTTGCTGCTTGTGTTTGTCGCTCCCAGTATGGAAAGTGCGATGTAATGAAAAAGGGCAAAAAGTTGATTTCCGAATCCGGGAATCGAACCCGGCTCTTCTCGGTGAAAGCGAGATATCCTAGCCGATGGACTAATTCGGATGATCTGATTGATGGAAAGAAGAGAAATACAAAAATATATAAAGGGGACGATCACATCTCCAAGGACTGAAGGTGGTCGCATCGTCAAAGTGGGTTCGAGCGGACTCGCCGATAAGTGGGGCTAACGCACATAGTATCACCCTATACAAGAGAAAAACCAAACAGGTAGAGATAGTAAACTCTACTTTGCAGCTTACATTAGCTCCTAACAAGAGAGATTATAGAGATTAATAGTATTGTAGGCTTCTAGGTTCTCTATGTATATCTATATAGCTCTAATACGCTTTGTTATAGTAGAAAGAAGTACTCTGCTTAAATAAGATATTTAGTTTCTCTCTTTGGCGTAGTGGTATCGCTTGCTTAGTTCAACAAACACTTGTTCACAACTATCACGATGTCACTGAGTTGAAGCTACTGAGCAGCATGATTCGCTGACAGTTTCAAATAGAAGGACCGCTGTTGTTCCAATGCGCATAATCTCGAATCAGTCACATCACTCATATGTAGAGGAAATAAGTTTCATGTGTGCAACACATATCATTCAGTCAAAGGAGCAATGGGCCAAAGCGACCCAATGCAAATAGATACAAGAAGTGGAGAACACCAAGTGTCGGAGCTTTTCCATCATCAACCGTCCTCCGGGTCTCTCCCGTCACATCTTCTATTGATCGTGTCTCAATAACCGGTCTGCTCGAGGAAGATTCGTCGCGTCAAGAACTTAAACGCGGAAAGCGCGGGGGTGGCGGCGGACCTTCTGGCTGGACGAAGAGCCAGCCTTCTCCTCGAGCCAGGCAATGAAGGTGTCGAGGGTGAACTCCTTGTCGGCGATGCTGGCGCTGCCGGTGGAGGCAGGGGCAGCAGCGGAGGAAGCAGCAGGAGTGGCGACAACCTTAGCAGGGGCGGCGCTGGTAGCAGCGGGCGCAGATGAAGCGGCAGGAGTAGTGGCAGAGGGCTTAGCAGCAGGGGCCGAAGCGTTGCCAGAGCCGGAGCTGGCACCGTCGAACAGAGCGGGACCGGGCATCTCGTAGCTGGACATGTCACCACCGTAGACGTTGACCTTGATACCGGGGTCGGTGGCAGTGTAGAGCTTGTTGGCAGGAGTACCAGCGGGGGTAGCGGTACCGGATCCGGTGACCTTCAAGTTGATGCACTTGGGGTAGTTCTGGGCACCGTTCTCCTGTCCAGCGGAGTGGAGAGCGATGATCTCGTGACGGAGAACGTAGTCACCGGGGGCGATGCTGTCTGGGATGGTCACGGACCAGGTGTTGTTGTTGGCGATGAGCTTGTCAGAAGCCCACTTGCCGTCCGAGAAACCAGCGGCGTCGATCTTGAAGAACTCAAGGTCGGTAGACTTGGCGGCGGTGGCATCGTCGACCTTAGCGAGGTAGTCGATGACGGGGCCGACGTGGGACTCTGGCCAGGTGGTCCAGGAGATGTCGAGCTTGCCACCGGCAGCGACCTCAGCGACCTTGGCACCAGCAGTTGCGTCCTTGTGGCAAGCAATCTTGGTGGCATCGTCGTACATGGAGGGGTCGACGAAACCGTTGTCCTGGCACTCGGGGCAAGACCACTCAATGACCTCGGGAGGAGGGCTCTGGTACTGGAAAGAAGGGTCGTAGGCGGTGAAGTCCTTGCCGTCAACCTTGATGGCAGACAAGTGACCGTGGGCGCTGACGGAGGCAGCAAGGGAGCCAAGGATGGCAGCGGCTTGGATCTTGGAAATCATTTTGTTGGTGTGTTGGAAAGTCCGGTTTTGACGAAAAGGTTGGTGTTCAAAAGATACCTCGAGATCGATCAACGAAGATAGTAAAGAATGTGAGACGCTTCAAGCGTTTGAAAAAGAATGAATGTGTAGTGAGCGAATGTCGACTGACTGAATGATTGTGGTGGTGAGGAGCCGTAGATGGCTGGGCGCAAGGCATACTTATACTCAGATGCTACCATGTCGGAAATGGCGCATTGCTGTGTGCATGTGTCAGATGAGAGGAGTGGAGCTGACAGAAAAGGTACTGTTGCCGTCACTACACCGTGTACAATGCTTCAGGGCTGTGGAGCTGGGGTACTCGATGTTCAAAATGTGGACTTGTCACTTGTCATGGCATTGCTTGTTTCACGCAATGGCGTTTGATCCTGGCGGTAAACAGTTCTCGGCGTGGTGTTCCTGATCGACGCAGGCATCTTTCAGAGTTGAAACATGAAGGAGCTGAAGATTGAGTAGGCGCTGTATGCAAACACAACGTCATAGCCGTGATATTCGGCAGTGCAGTCTCAAATTCAGATCTCCAATGTGTACACTGTATAATTACGATGGATATTCGTTCAGTAATTGAGAGTTGAGATGTTCGGTGGAGTGAGATGAGACAAGCTGCCGAGGTGCGACTCGTCCCGCCCGCAGCACCAGAACCGTCTCGACTCGCTTAGACTCAGTGCGCGACGAACGACGTCTACGCGTCACCAAATCTCCTGTAGTTAAGCAGCATGAATGCAAACACGGAAAAACGGCAAGGCGCTCACCTCTACTCCTCACATACATTAACTTGTATCAAACACCTCCGTAGCACCGATGGTAGCCTCCACGCTTTATCTCCGTGTGGTTCGCTTCCGACTCTCATCGTTTCACGCCTCCTGTTTTGTGGGTCAACGACAGCGCGCGTCTCCACCGCGGGCATGACACTTCCAGGCGCTTGGTAACGACGTCAATTCGTACGGAATACGGTGTACAGTATATTTGCTTTCCAATTGAAAGCCAGATCGTAGGGTTCGATAAATCCACGGAACATTTTGTCACACCTAGGCACTCTCACACGCATCCAAACACAACAGCTCTCAGGACGAGTAAGGGCACGATCAATGACTGACTTCCAGGACCTTCCTTCGCGCGAGGTCAATGCCGCCCGGAGAACCCACCGATGTTTTGTGTTGTCTAAGTGGGTCTCTTGTCTCTATGCGTTCCAATGTCGCTTCCATGTCACACGGACCCTCATTTCCGAGCCAAGAAACTTTAGCAGGTGGCAGCAGAAGAAACAAGCAACGGCTAAATTGGCCAAGGCTCGCTTCCTACCGTCGACCCGTTGTTCATGTGGTAGGTTGTGAGGAGTATGCCTGGTTCATACACTTTCTCCTTCCTCCGACGTCTTATGGCAATCGACTTTGAGACGATATCTTCATAGTATTTGCTTCTGAGTTTTCGACTTCTCCTAGATATCACTGCAGCGACAACGCCAGCAAGATGCCCCGAAATATCAAGAACGATTGCTACTCCTTCACCGGCCGCATTCGTTGCGAAATATGGAACTTGTCCCACTCGACAGGTTCTGCAGCAAGGCTCGGTTGGCAGAAACCGGCAAGGTAGCTGCCACCGGCTGTTGGACTGTTAGTGGGTAACATTATGGAGCCACGGCGACGAGAACAGGTCATTTCACGAATATAAAAGCGACACCTCCCGTAACGTGTAGGCCAATATGGCTCCAGAGTTAACGACCGATACTCGTATTAGGAGCACAGAATACAAGTCCCTTGGTATGCGGCCATTCGAGCACAATCACGTCCAATAGCACCTACTGCATCGGCACCTTCATAGGCATGACCTGCCAGAACGCCCACCTAGCGCGGAATGACTACAGAAGGCTTGATATCTGCTCCAGCATATCTATCTACCATACGAGGCCGCGGAGTGCGTAAGCATTCTTAAGTTCTACAAGACCACGATGACGATCCGGAACCTTCTTCACAGACCGGCGCAGTTTCCGACCCGCAGCTCATAACTCCACTCTAGGGCTACGCTCAATACCGTTCTTAGCGTTACGATATGAAGATCTACCACAGAACCTGCATGATACACGAATCCATTGCACTGGGCCAATAATTCTGTGTCCGCACTTCAAGTGTATAACTGGTGATGGTCCTGGATTGCGATAGCGTTGTGGAAGTACATAACATGCTGAGTGGCTGTTGCACCTAAGCCGATATTCATGCCCATAGTTTCTCTACCACAAATCATTTGGCCACTTGAAACTGGTGGTAAGCTTATGTAAGTAATCAAAAATTGCATCGCCATAGCACGCGCAGTAGAGCCATACAATCCATTTTGCCAAGTACATGCTCTCGTCTCGCTGAGTTGAGTTCTACAAGTCACCTATCTATGGTACCACTATGAGAAGCCTATACCCCCGACATGCATCAGGAGCTTTGCACGCAGTAAAACTTGCATGTGTGTGTAGCATAGCAGATTATGAGCAAGCTTCATAATGCAACTACCGTATGACACAATATACCTTGTTGTGAATACTCGTGACCAACTATGTGACTGTCCAGACAACGGGGCGTAAGATGACTGCTTTTGTATGCAACTAGCAGATGCGCCAGACCGAGACCAGTCTGGACTATACGGCACGGTACACATCACATGCGCAACCCTCTTACCATCAGCGCCATGCGCGATTTTTCATCTTTACACAATCTTTGCTTGTTCTTCTACCTTAGCACAAGGCTTCATCTGATGTGGTGGCTATGGTAGAGGCTATTTCAGATCCAGTGGCGGCAAAGAAGCCGAGTAAGGACTATCCGTGGTGGGTAGAGAACATCGATCACAAAATAACGCCCGAGGTCAGTTGTAAGACGATACGAGAGATCTATAGCTTGTATACACGATTCACTAACGTCTCACTGCAGGTGCGGCAACACCTAGAAACATACAGTGGCATTCAATCCGAAGATGTTTACAAACATATTTATGCTATAGTAAGCCGAAAGTCTCCCGTTGACTGCGCAACTACAACCTCACATCCTATAGCGCGAAAAGGCATGGTCCATTCGTCCATATCCATGTACTGGAATAGGCATGTTTCTATCGCCTGCCGTCTCCTGTCATCCCGCTTATAAAGCACTGCTCCCGCGCCTCAAAGCCAGCGGCAAGTTTTTGGACATCGGATGCTACATAGGCCAAGACCTCCGCAGATTAGCCCTGGATGGCGTTCCCGAGCAAAACTTGATCGGCACCGATATAGTCGACCATTGGAAACTTGGATTCGAGTTCTTCAATGACAAAGATCGCTTCCATGCGCAATACATTGAGTCCGACCTCTTGCATCCTAATGGAGCAATGGAGCGACTATTTGGCCAAATAGATGTTGTCTCCATCATACATGTCCTACATCAGTGGGACTGGAACACGCAAATTCTAGCATGCAAGGAAGTGGTCAAGTTTACTAAGACGGGTAGTGTGATCATCGGATACCAAGGTGGAACGAACGATATCACGAAGCGAACAAAATGGAACGTAGAGAACGGGCAAAAAGAATTTACGCTGCATGACCCGAAGACGTTCATGGACATGTGGAAGATTGTGGGCGAGGAGATGGAAATGGAATGGAATACGGAAGCGAAGATTGTGCCTTGGGATGAGCTGGCTACCCGCACGGAGGATGTGGCATATCTTGGGGAGGACTTTGCGTTGTTGAGATTTTTGGTAAAGAGGGTTCGATGATAGCTACACTGTATCGTTGACCAATATGTACGCATGATACGGAATCTCATCGAACGGAAACTATTGGACGGGTGAGTTTGTTGATGAAATTGTGTGAATAGACCACGAAGTGGGGATAGTGTGAAGATTTACAGCTTCAGAGCGACAACATCTCATATATTCCGTCACCCAGTAGTATTTTCTGCGTGAAGTAATGCCGTGCGACACGAATTGTTGCTGTCTCTAATTGCACAATGTGCACCGTTGACCTTCCATCGTAGCTTCGGTAATATCATTGAAAGAAGGTACTCAGTCTTGCGCAAGATTCCGGGTTGATACCAAGCCCAGCCACTTCGCTGTAAACATGACTTTCCGCGGCTAGTTAGTCCGTGCCAGATGAATGCACAAATATCTCCCTGTGCATGTGTAGCAGACTTGGTTCAATCTGCTCAACCAACCTCTCGCCTTGACAATCATGCTCGACTACTCCAAGTGCAATTCCACTGTTGTCCGACACGGGAGTACTGATCACGTGAGGCCCATCAAGCCGATAATACAACTGTCTCCGACATATTGGACAGACATCTGTGCCAGCGATGGCTGACCTCAGCCACCTGCGCAAGCATGAGCCTCCGAAGACGTGGGCACAAGCGTTCGGTCCAGTGAAACGGGTTGGCGTATGTTTATCGTGATCGAAGGCTTCGAAACAGATGCAGCACTGAGTGAGATCTTCGAGATAGGTTGCGATAAATTGCTCTGTAGTGTTGAAGGGGATTTCATCTTTTCGGACTGTAGTTTGTCGTTGAAACGGGTTGCGTGCTGGGCGTTGTTCCAAAGATCGATAGACGTGTCGAGTGGGGAGGCAGGCTTCCACAAGCCTTTTGAGGATTCGTACCATTGCCAATATGTCGTGTAGGTCGAGACTGTGTTCAGACTGAGGGAGAAGAAGGGAATGTGAGTCAAGTTGATGAAATAACTGAGAGAAAAGCTGCGGTAATTTTACCTTGGGTGTGAGGTGTCGCTACCAGAAATCCAAGATCTCGAAAAGCAGCTCTTCGAATCATAAACTCGACTTCACAGACCTTCTTTCGTTACGTTGGAGTCGTGCTTATACTACGGTTGTCACCCACTGCATCTAGTGGTGCTGCGATGATCTACTGACGACAGGCTGGCCGCACAACTCCGCCAACCCGCAACCACATGGAACTGAATAAAGGATCACACAATCTTGTTCTTATCGCTCTAGTTGATTGTCTGGTCCCAGTCGTTGAGGACTATGCCGCTTCCCGAGCTTTCAACATAACTATGGTATGTGCAAGCTGTTCTTGGAATAGTTCTTATCCAAGGGCATCGTTCGGATACGTTGAAATTATGTGGATTGTGAGCGGCTCGTCGTTGCTATGCACCGTATCGTGCCGATGGGTTGCAGCCAAGGTATGGTATCTGCACCTCCTTGGGCTGAATCAACAGTGCAAAGCATTGTTCCTTTCGTTTTGGTTAGGCACCTAGCGATAATCATCGAGAATGAAGCTGGTATTCGACCATTGGGCAAGACCAGACAGCGTATCTGCATGTGAAAGTCTCGTAAACGAAAACGAGATTTTGCCGGTGCATGACAAAAGTGCCGCGTTACGGGTGGAAATGATGTTGATGATTGGTACCTGAGCAACGAGTGTCAATCGCGCTGGCAAAAAACGGCCAGCCGCTATACTAGCCCCCTCGGCCAAAGTCAAGTTGGAAGTTGGAACCGCAGAACGTCACCAACCGCAACCAACCCCCGACCTCGCGATACCACAAATCCCGCGTATTCCAGCTCTTTGCGCAATCACAATTAAGTTTAACCAATGAAAAAAACGAGGGCCGAGGGCCCAACCGCCAACGCCTCAAACTTTGAAACTCCGGAACAATCGGAAATTGCCTCCTTGGGTATAATCTCATGCACGTGTTGGCTTGACGTGCGTTTCTCAGTGCCGCAATCCTGCCGCTCGCCCTTTTGCGTATCACCTCGCTTTACGAACCGCACCCCCCACACTCTGACCAACTCGATCGTCTCTTTTGCGCCCGCGCGACGATAAAGACTGTGTGTAAAACGCTAATGGAATGAAGGGAAATGAATGAATGGATGAGACGAGGATGATCTGCGATATGTCAGTCGATGTCTCGGTCGTGCCTCGGAAGCAATCGGCTAGCGCTCAGACATGAGGATGAGTGATGCGTTTTGTAAGGGAGGGGGCCCTGTGGCTGTGCTGACGCTCCGTGCGAGCCTGGGTGAGCAAGTACGCACCTCTGAGTTCCAGCTCGTTCAGGAAACAAGGCCAGTTTCAATGCTCCGCATGTATCGCGCCTGTGCCCTCGCACACACTGCACTTGTTGCTGCCGGATCGTTTGCATGCTGGACAGCCCTTGCCATTGCAAGCGTCGCACTTTGTGGTTCCGTTGCCTTTGCACGTTGGGCAGTCCTTCATGTTTGCGTTTGCGTAGTTGACCGGATCGAGCGGGCGGAAGTGAATAGCCGGGGCAGATGCGGCGCAGTAGGCAGAAGCAGAATGAACAAAAGGTAGCAAGAAGGTGAATATGGAGCCGAGTTGGGTCTGGAGAAGAGCAAGATATATGTCGAATCGAAGACGCTTCTGAGGTGATCGCAATGGATGGAAGGGGCAGTCGCGGTGAAATAGTCCGTTGATCTTGATTTAGCAAGGCAGTACCACGGTTATGAAGATGAGCAACACAGTTGAAGTTTCGAAACACACAATGGTCCACGGGCCTGATGAGCGTCAGGGTCTCTTTATATAATTTCCCCATTTTGGGCCCCGCGCATACCCGTAACCCAGCTGGCTCATCATCGCAATCTCACCGCGGCCGCGAATAGTGAAGCAAGCTCGCAAGCTCAGCCCCCGTCTGCATCCAGCAAACAGTCCGAGCTTCTTCACGATAGGTTTTCCGGGTTTAGTAGTAGGAGTAGCATCACGAGAACACGAGAACGTCGCTTGTGAGGTACTACCAAGGGTCCACTAGCACTATCTTGCCATGCATCTAAGAAAAAAATGATGTCAAGGTGCATTTTTCGGAAGGCTATGGAATACCTTTTGACAAAGCCCCTGCCTTTTTCTCATGCACGGAATGCACCTCCCCTTCCAAACAAGTCCTGCCGCATAAGTCCTCTTGGCTTCGCTACACTCTCCTATCGTCTGCGTATAGACCATGATCTGATTGTACCTACTGCCGCCACAACCGGTCAATATCTCCGTGGTGAATGCGGCATTAGGCTTGTGCCGCAACCGAGCCAGCAGTAAGAGAGCTCCATGCATATCCTGATTGGATTTGCGACGTGGGAGAGGACGTCAGACTGCAGTATCCCAGCACTCTGGATCAATCAGACAGTGGCCATGCTTCTAGCGCGTTCCTCTCAAGATTGCGCGCATCGCCAGGTGTCACTGCGGACCAGCAACGTCATTAAACGCCCCGATAGCCTTTGCAGTTACAGGGCGCGGTGACAAGTCGAAAGGAGAGGCTACATCAGGCACGGAGTTGGGAAGGCTGTGCGAGCACGTTGTTGAAGCATTGGTGAGGGGCAAGTCTTGATGATGGACTGAATGGGAGATGCCTGATGCAGAAGGCACACACGTGGCAGGCTGCAGGAGCGGTAGAACGAACCGACGTGGTGGGTAAGGCTGAATTTTGGTTGGTGGAGCCGATTGATACATCAGCAAGGTACAGGGGGTGACAATATTCAGCTCCATGTAACCACGTAACCCCACTTTCCAGGCACAACGCTGGATGCCTCTAGACGTGTGAGGTTGGGAAAAGCCTACACTAGGAAGTCCCCGTTTGCTAGCAAGCAAAAGTAAGCACCACCAAGGTAATCACGATGATTTTTATCCTATGGCTATGCGCCCATGGGCAAATGAGCCGTAGTGTGTACATGTCTCAAACTATCTTTCAAGACAAGAAAAACGGGTCTCTTTGATGGAAGATGCCAGTATCCCGACTCCAATCTTACCTTTACTTGAGACCAAGGTATCTTCTACAGCTGTGTTACCAACTACCTGGACCATTCACAAAGTGCAGAGTTGTAATGCCAACATATCTGCCTAGCAAGGAACTTGCATGTCCAAGGAATTCTCCGATACAGAGCACCGCGTCGTTCGAGATTAGATGCTGCTTCTTAGCGCTGCCCTACTTGGGTGGCGTTGTCGAAACGAACCGCCTAGTCCACAGATCATGTTACTGTGGCTGCGGACCGAAGCCGGACGTTTGACTAGGAGACGGCTCGTGAGGTTGACACAGAACATGTTGCTAGTCTAGTGCCATCTTCACGAAATGGCCTGATTTGCAAAAGCTTAAGTATTGCAAGTCCTCACTCTCAGCTTCAACAGCCCAACAATGAGAAAAGGAAAAAAAAAAGGCTGACGAAAAAACCGTTGGTGAATGAAACAGCCTAGCACCAAAGGTTGGCTAATATACAGTTCCGCCTGGCCTTACAACAAGTCCGTCCAATTAGTATGCCCTACATCAGCGACCTTGGCATCCGCCTACCGAGACCATGGTGGACACGCGGCCCAGAACTTACCATGGTCTCACATCGGGCCTGGAACCGAGTTGGGAATTGTGCGGCCTGGCTCTACAGCCAATTCATCAATTGGCATGCCTTACATCAGAGACATTGGCGTCTAAGAGTCAGGCCACAACGGACACGCGGCCCAAGGCTGGCCGTGATCTCGCAACGGTCTAGAGCTGAACGGAAAGACTCGTCATCACCGACTTGGAACACGCGGCCCGAGGCTCGCTATGATATGGAATGAAGTGAAAAGAAATCCATTGATACAGCCGTGATACCATAAGAAAATAGGTCTCATCGGCTCCAACGTGAGTACCTGTGTTTTGGATCCTCTTCTCTCGGTCTCGGTCTCGCTTTCTCTTTCCCTTTCCCAGGCTATCCCCAAATGCGTTCTTACAACTTCGCCTTGACGACAGCCCTTTCCAGACCCGGTCCATCCCAGATGTCGCGCTCAACCGCACGTGTGTTGATGCAATGCATACCCAACTGCTCGACCTTTTCCACACCAAGTAGACGCATACACGTCTCAGTCTCCGCTTTGAGAACTGTTTGTCTGTTAGCATGCATGTCACACTCTGAATCTTAAAAAAAAGGAGAAAGACTCACTCTCAAGCACCCGCGCAACTCCTTCCTTCCCTCCGGCCCCCAGTCCAAACAACGCCGCCCTACCTACACCCACACCCCTTGCACCCAAACACAAGGCCTTGACAACATCCGTCCCCCGCTTGATTCCTCCATCGACCCAAACTTCAATACGATCAAACACCTCGGGACAGTATTTGCGTATCTCAAGTAACGTGTGTACAGCAGGTGGAGCTGTATCCAGTGCCCTACCACCATGGTTCGATAAGATGATGGCTTTGACGGCTGGAGCGTGGAGCGAGGCTAGATAAGCGTCTTCGTGTGTTTGGATTCCTTTCAGAACGATAGGTTTGGTGGTGTGTTTTGCGAGCCAGGGCAGTGTAGAACGCCAAGTTAGATCTGCAGCTGTGCCCCAGAAGAGGGACTGGCCCATGCCCATTGATTTGGGCTTTGGCTTCTCGTTCTCGCTGGCTTGTGTGGGTGTCTTCGCACTCGTGCTGGTCTTGGAGAGCGATTGTGATTCTTGGACCGAGGCGCGCACGGGGAGGTTTGAGCCGACGTTTTTGCTGCGTTCGTCGTGTTCGCGCTTACCGGGGACTGGCGCATCGAGGGTGAGGCAGATGAATTTGACCGCGTCGAGTTTGTTCACACGGTCGAGGATGGCTTCGCTCTTGGCGCGCTCGTTCTGCACATAGAGTTGCCAGCCAAAGACCTGGCCTGGGGTGGCGTCTGTGACGATTTGTTCAGGCGTCATGGACGCGTTTTGACTAATTATCTGCATGGCGCCGAATTGGCTGCAGGCTTGTGCGATGCCCCATTCGCCGTCTGGGTGCGCGAGACGCGCCATGGCTGCTGGGGAGACATAGATGGGGAGTTTGACCGAGTTGCCGATGAAGGACGTGGATGTGTCGCAGCGGGTGCAGTCGACAAAGACGCGGGGTCGTAGGAGTATGCTGCGATATACGCTGTTGTTGAAGGACTTGCTCTGGAGGTCGTCGCTTGCGGAGAAGTAGTACGCCCATGCTTTGTAAGGTATTTGCTTCGTTGCCACCTCTTCTATTTCATCGAGGTTCAGTAAGCTGTCCAGATCTACGGGTCCTTCGTCTTGCGCCTCGCCAGTCTCCTCTGGTGTCTTCTCCTCTTTCGGGAGCGTGTCTGGGTTTATGGTGCCGAGCTTATCCGAGGCTTCGAGATTCTCTTCGAGAATGCCGGGTGGGTGGATGGGATCGTATTCTTCGGTTGCGTCGGTGCCGGCAAGTTGGAGGATGACTTTTGAGCCGCCGGGGTGCTCAGGAATGAAGCGCGTGACATCGTAAACATTGCCGTAGAGAATCACCCAGCAGCTCTCTGCTGTGTTGTGCTGTGCGACTGGGTTCCGAGTTAGCTATGGTAGTTGGAGTTGGATCGCGGGCACTGGAGGCTAACCCTCGGCATAATCGAAAACCTTCGCCATGATGCCGTGCGTTCAATTACTTGTACAATGCGGGAAGAAAACACGAAATCAAAAGCTGGGAATGCAAAATAAAGCTCTACAAAGATGGCGACGAGGATTGCGAAGAGTGTGAGCAAGATTAACTCCGGCAAAAGAGCAGACGCCGACGTCTTTTAGCCAACCCCAACCTGTGGGGATCGAGAGCTCGGGGTAGTGCCAACCCGAGTCAGGCAAGGCGGGCCGCATTTCTTCTTTTGCGGAGCGTCAGTAGGTAAGCCGGATACACAGATGGCTAATTGGCGGAGTCCCATTCTCGGACTACCCAGCCACACGCCGTGCTAGCTCAGATGCGGTGAACTGTTGTTCGCTCTAAACGTGTAAGGTTGGATGATGACGATGATAGCTTCAAACGCCGCGGCAATTGAATGTCCACCAACCCCATCTTTACATCACACCCAAGTTTTCTACATTCATTCGAACAACACGACATCTGTTACGAGTAATCTCTGAATGCTATCAAACTCAACGGGTATCCTTGGCTAGAACAATAGCCTGCAACTAAAAGATGCAGAGTCGCGTGTCGCAGTATCCCCATACAATGGCTAAATATCATACAGTCTCAGGACTAGAAGCAGTACCCTCGCTTTTCGCTCTCCTCTCGCGTTGCAGTTCCCTGGTCCCTTTTCTCTGCCAGCCATCATTGACTTGAAAGTTTTGCCCATCAGTTCCGGTCGAATCAGAGTATCCGTCCTTTGCATTTTCGTCATCATCCTCATCGCTATCCTCGCGCGTCGACGCCTTGACGAGTTCCTCCAGCTCGCTATGAATATCCCACCGGGAAACCCGCTTTGATTTGATCGTACCTGGCCATGTTTTGGCAGCCGGCTCCGAGATGGACCGCGCAAGAGACGGTCTGGTCAATCTTCCACCTCGTACTGCTTGTCTGCGCCGATGTACCTCGTATTTGGGGCGCTCGAGAAATTGCGCGCGTTGCGAATCATCTACTCAAGATGTTAACGCGATATCCAGGCTGGATATCAGATTAAGGAATGTGCAAGGCATTGGCATGTTCAGGGGCGAGGGGTGCAAGATGTTCACCAACCCTCAACCTGAAGATCCCCCCAGCCATGCTCAAGCTCGCCTTCATTCGCAGCCTCATCACCCCAGTCCATCTTCTCAAGCTCGTTGCGGAAGAAGTCTTGTTCCTCCTCTAGGACACCGGGTTTGGCGCCTAGGCTCTCTGGATAGCGCTTGAGGTTGTGCCAGTGAGTGAGTGATCGCAGAGCTTGCTCAAGCGGGACGCTCTCATCGACCTCAGCATCCACGTCGCTCCCGGCTAGCCAGTCGTCTCGGAGTTCAGGTCTGCAGTGTAGATACACCGCAGTGATGACACGCATGTTGGATTGTCGCCACTTGCGGCCACAGTAAGGAACTTGGTTCTTGAAAAGCTTGAGCGTATACAGACGCAGCTCCGGTTGTGGTACCTTCAAACTCTTGCGAAGGAACTGTGAAGACTTGTAAGACACTAGCATGAGATTACGATGTGCCTTGTTCTTGCAGATCTTTTGCATAATGCGAAGGTAGTTGATGGATGTAAAGAACGCGCGCCATGAGAAGTTAGTGATGGGTTCCTTCGGCAATTCGTTGGTAGGGAAGCCAAGCTCGTCAACCTCTGGAGGTTGTAGTTGAGCAAGCGGAAGGGCTGGCTCGAGTCCTGATTCATTTATATCTTCTCTGGATAGGCGGATTGGAGGTGGGACGGCGTCATCCTCGTCAGATTCGCCGTTATACGCTTCTCCTTGATGGCTCTCAATATGGTCTTCTTCAGATACATTCCTGGAATGTGTTCGGCAAAAGTTGAAGAAGTTGAGCTCTTCCTGCTCACTCTTGAAGTTTACGATTTTTTCAACCTCTTGCAGTTGTAGTAGCTTCAGGATCAACGGGACATAGCTGGAATCGACCAATAGCTGCGTGATGTACTCGAATTTCAGGATGTGAGAGACTTTGAACCATTTCAGGATCAATATTAAGGTGCCTGTGACTGCTTTGTCGAGAACCTCTTGTGTGCGCATTGCGTCAAGCTCCTCATTGGTGGCTAACGGGTTACCATGACCGTTCATGCCACTCATGTCGGGCCGACCGGCTGTCGTACCGTTCTGGTTGTCCTGGAATTGGAAACCGCTCTGTAGTCCATTCGCGCCGCTGGATTGCGTGACGAGCGCCGTGACATGTGCAAGGATAGCTTTGATCAACACGATGATTAGTGACTGTAAGTTGGGAAGTGCGATCCGATACAACTCCTCGACCAAATGCAGTCGCTCCTCACAACTACCAGGTTCAAATTTCTTTGGTGGCGCTTCATCTTTGGGCTCAAGCGACAATTCCTCGATATCAGGATTGTCGTCAGGACCGGTCCAACCGCGCTCGTATTTCATAAATGCGACACGCTCCTCCCATAGCTGCTTCATTGCACGCGTGGCCTTCATGCGTTTAGCGAAGAGCTCTGCGGCCTCCAAGATGGATGCAGGTATGTCCGAGCCTTCCCATTTGCGTCCCACAAGAAGGTCCTGCAGGTCGGTTGAGCCCTTTCCACCCAGCTTGTTACTAGATTCGTCGAGTGGCGGATATAGGAATGGGAACATTTGGTTTGTCTGGTAGTTCTGCTTCTTCCCGCCCTTGCCGCCAGGGCCTGCAGGCGAGGGAGGAGGCGAGGGCGCCGGGGTCGCAATATGTACCGGCTGGTGCAGAATGGACGTGCTGTTGCCGTTTGTGTCTCCAAGTCCTGAGCCGAAGACATGATTGCCAGCTACCTTGTTTGGGTGGTTCTTTAGTGGTGGCAAGATGGAGTTGTTTTCTGGCTCAAGAGGAAATATGGGAAGAGGAGGATTGTACGCAGGGTACTTGGAGCTTATCTCCTGTCTGAAGAGGTGGTAATCAAGTGGCGAGGCAGTGATGAGTGGCTGACCCTTGGAATCCTCCGACTCGAGCTTGTTGTCGTTGAAAGTCTTTTTGACCTTGTTAACTTCCGCGAGACCACCGAAAGTCACCAGCATCGTCTTCCAGAGCAGCAGTGAAATCTTACTAAGAGGCAGGTTAATTGACTCGTCCCACCGTAACTTTGCGATGAGATCAACGAAAAGCATAAGAAGGCCTGGCTTCTCAAGGTCAAGAATGGCGCTTCTGAGTTTGAGGCTGTTCTTCGTCTTTTCCTCGTCGCGCGCAACTTCTAGTAAGACGTAGACGGCGGTCATCGCACACCAGATCTCGCGTCGTTCAGCCTCCTTGGAATCGCGCTGAGCTTCGGGTGTGACTTCCACCCCACATGCTCTCAGAAGCGAAGAGCTGAGTGCATCGACGATGGCCTGCACGCCGTTATTATCGGCGAGCAGGTGTACGTTGCGCTTGATGAGCGAGGCTTGCTTTCCCGATTTGACATATGCGGCGCTGCGTGCTGACGTTGCGCCCGACTCTTTTGCCTCGTCCGCCGCTGGTTCTGGTAGTCCTGCAGTCTCATGCCAGCACCCAAGGAGGACGTAGACCAATGCCTCGAGCTTCTTTAGCCTCATGACAGGATCTGCGTCCTTCAATCCTCCTAACAAATGTTTCACAAAGTCATTATGTTGTGTTGTCGTCGCCTTGGCCCAGTCCAAGCCATCTTCGCCATTGGACACGTCGTTCAACCCATGGAATGCGCTCCATTCCAACGAGTAGGATGCCTGGGTTTTCAGCAGCATAGCCTGCTCCTCGACTGCGTATGAGAACCACTCCTCCAACTCCTCTTCGAAGAACGAGGCATCGTCGTAGGTAAAGGCGTATGGCGCAGGCTCGACCTTTGGTAAGCCCCTCACGAGGTTCTGCAATTGCGCCAGCGAAAGCGAGTCATTCTGTGGGGTGTCTGGCGGCGGTACAGGCGGTGCGGGAGGAGGGAGGTTCGGCGCAGGCGTAGGGACTGAGTTGCCGCGTTGCAGGCCGGGGCGTGCTGGCAGCGTAAGGGGAGGCCCGGCTTGGGGTTGGTCTTCGTCTTGTTGAAGCAATATACGCTGCTGTTCGGCGGTATCGAGTGGCAGGTTGAGCTCTTCCTCTGGCTCGGCCTCGATGACCGGAAAATCAGCGCTCGAATTGCCAATCAGCTCAGCTGCGTCCAATACAGGAGGCACAAGCGGCTCCTCGGGCACCTCGTTGTTGGCCATAGTCGGTCGCGCGTATTATCTGAATGTGGGGTTGGGGTCGGGTGGAAACGTGTTACGCCCACCATGTCCGGGAGCCCGTTCACGTGCTAATCATGACTGCTGCTTCGGAAAATTCGTGGGTGTGGTAAGAAACGTGTCTTCGCGGTTCGAGAGAATGAATCGCTATGTGCATGCGAGGCAGGTGGGATGCGCCGTCCGCTAACGGATAAGCAGGGTTCCGATAGCGCGATTCATGTGGAAACACATCAGAAGAAACGTCGTCGTGCAACTACCAAGTCGACAGTACAAGTGACCAGCACATATCATACCATGATTTGGAAAAAGTCACCGAGAATGCTGTGTCATTGAAGAACTCCTCCTTGCTGTAAAACGTGTCGCTGAATACGTAAGAGAAGCCTCCGTTGTTTGTACGAAGGAGGCCTATCTTATCCCAGTTGCACCACCATATGCAGACAACACCAAAAAGCCCGTACCAAAAGAGCGAGTGATACCCCCCACTGTACGCCAAATAAATAAGATAATCAGCCACACTGAAAGTGCGCGGGATGAACAGTAGACCGACAGGCCAAGAAATGAAGTACAGATGTATAGTCCCCGAACATAGCTAACAAGGTATCATCAACATCGTGTCGACAGGACATGGTCGATGGAGAGCAGGGCTAGACAGGTCGGGTCGGACCCAATCTAACCACTAATCAGATGACGTTTCTTCCGTGTTCTACATGGGATTCGCTCCCGTCTGTTCGCCGTTCTCCTGACGCTCTTTGATCTCGTCAGGCAGGATGCCGTTGTTTTCGCATGCGCGCTTGTAGATCTGGCACTCGTCCCATGCCCGTTGGCATTCGGCTTTGAACTTGTCGCAACTCGCGCTGAGCTCGGTGATGGCTTGCTCGGTGAGTAGCTTCTCGAGCGTCCATTTCTCGATATTTTGTTGCTCGTTCTCCTTGAGTTGAGTAATGAACTGCACTGCTCGTTGCAGAATAGATCCCTTGTTCTTTTCGCAACCTGGAACGATCTTGGCGAGTTCGTTGATGCCTTCGTTGATAGTCTCGCGGCGGCGGCGTTCGACTGCGTGTCTGTAAGTGATTGCTGCTTCAAATATGTGTATAGATGCCTACCTTCTTTGTGGTTATCCCTCCGTACCTTGTGCCACTCTTCTGTGCCGACTTGAGGCTTGTGGGTGGCGCTTTGCGGTGGCGAGTCGCTGGGTGCTGTTTGGCCGGGACGGCCCGTCTGTGTGGCAGCCTTCAAGGCCTCGAGGCTAAAGTCCTGCATGCCCGTTTGTTGTTGGTTGTGGTCTCCCATACTGAAAGAGCCATCCCCCGAGTTTTGCGTTTGGAACTGGAGCTCGGTTGCTTGGGGTACCGTCATCTGGTGGTAGGCAAGCGCGGCCGCAGCAGTATCGCCAACACTTGCCGTGTTGGTCCCACCGTTGTGGTGCACGTCAAACTGCTGCTGCATGTCGTCGTCGGCAGCGTTGTGCGCAGCAAGGAATGAGGCAGTCGCTTGGTCGGTCAGGTCGTTGTTGGCGGTGTGGGGAGCGGGTCGGTTCAGGCCCTGATCGCGCGTGTCGCGCTTCCGCTTGTTGTTGGTGTGCACGTTGTGGGCATCCAGCTTGCCGTCTGTGGGATAGCCGGCAGTATCGGCCATGGTATCTGGTGGGGTATCTGAAAGTGTAGAGTATCGCCTGTAGGTACGCTAGGGCCGATGCAAAGCTTCTGCGCGCGGTTACTCAGAGGGTGAAGTCTGAGATGGACAGGGCCAATGGTAAGCGAGCGCGCTGTAGTAGCCGACCTGGATGTAGCCGCGGGTGAGCGAATCGGGCGGGTGACGTATTGGAGGTTGGTGAAAGAGGCAGATGGGACGCGCTCGAAGCGTGAGTCGTAGGCGCAAACACCGAGGCGGGGAGGGGGAGCAACAAGTGGCGCTTTGCCCACCAGTTCACGCGCAATCCGGATGAGGACTTGATCTAGCAATCATGCGCTTGGGGAGCGCATACAGAGGCCTAGGTTCGACAAACATTAGCACGGGCGCGAGCAGCTGAGTAGGTCAAAGTGGTGCGACAAGAGGCATAGCAGGCAGGCGATTGGGGCGCGTCGAGCTGCCCGTTGTTGTAAGACGGAGCTGTCACTACTCAAAGGAGGGCCGTCGTATCGTGCGAGCGGGTGGGTCGTCCGGAGTGCACAATGGCGTCGTGCGTCGTTTCGTGGTGGATGCGCGCGTCCACCAAGTGCGGGATGCCGAGCAACACCACCACAGCCAGCGAGGTGCGGGCTCGAGGCAACCACGACGCCCGATGCGATTGTCTCGACGGGCTTGATGGCGTGGAGAGGCGCTGAGGGAATGCGCAGGCCTATGCGCAGCGTTCCGACCATTCCGCGAAAACGACCATGATGCTAACTCACCGATGGTACAAGGCTCGACTGCGAAGTTCCAATGGGTCCGCGATATCAGGTGACGGGCGAAGGCGTGACGACCCTCGACAAGCGGTGGTAGAACGGGCGGATGCACACTTTCGGGAACGAGAAAAAGAACAGAAAGCTTCTTACCTTGAAAATCGCAGACTTGGGAATTGCTTCAGGCAGGATTATCAGCACAGTTGAACGACCGACTTGAATCACGAGGCGATGAGTGCACCGTGGACGAGAGATGGTCACATGGGCGGCGGCGCTATCTTATGATGGAGAAGGGAACAGGGAAGCCAGGTTAGAGCCGAACGGAAACTTGGCGTGGCCAGACATGGGTCCACGCCAATCACCGCTTCGCGAAGCGCCATGCCAGCTTCCCCACTCCCAGCCCGCCCATCCAGCAACCACCAGCGTTATCATGACTGACTATGCACCAGCCCGTCAACTTCTGGCCTCTCTACTCCCTCCTGCACTTTGGTCTGCGACTCTCTCTGCATGCAGTAATGACTCTCTGCGAACAGCTTCCTACGCCTATCCGCGCATGCCTCTTCTCACCACCGCCACTCTCGCCCGCCAGCCTCACTGCGAGAGCATCGTACGGATGACACCCCTCTAGACCACCTAGGCTCAGCCGACACCTCCAACACGTATTCACATGGCTCAAACAGAGACAAAGGTGTGGCATGTGACACGCTGCCCCCACATTCTCGAGCTAATCGCCAACTACGCTTTACCCTTTTCGTGACTGGTTCCATCATGCAATACACAGCCCTTTACAAGATCGACTCTTACGCATTTTCTCTGAATGATTCGACCTCCACCAAGTCTGACAGAGGCTTCTACAAGCTGCTTTACACATTTCTTGAACAGTTCTTGACGTTGATGCTTCTTCTCCATGTCCATGTAAGCAGTTTGCTACAAACTTAATTCGAATCCGCGGAGGCAACCAAGGACTCTGCCCTCGCATCGAGAAGAAGGTGCATCATCGATCAGGACTCATGCATAGATCCACTCAATACCTCTCCAGTGGTATCGTAGATAATCCTGCATGCTCGATACAGAGCGTCTCAACCCGATATCATGCGTCGCATGGTAGCAACATTGAAAACACACTGCGTGGATAAGAAGGCATTTCTCGCTTCAAGTCTGCACGTTTTCTTATAAGTTGTAGCCAAGTAGGCTATCATCATACTGTCTTGTTCAATCCATTAGGTCTTGCTTACTGAGTTATTCGTTGAAGGCAAATAAGTTTGATGAGTGTAGGTCTGAAACAGCGAACCCTGTGGTGATAGTGGTAAGTTTAGTCCACTTTCACATAAGCCAACCAAAGAAAGGCCCCTGTATATTCATCACATGCTGCAGACTCTACCAGCCTCGTGTAATCATAGTTTCCAAAGTCGCCACTCAGCCCTCCAGTTCCTTCTCAACTTCCAATGTGTTTCAGTCATCTCCACCACGTGCGCTGCATCTCTAGGATCTTACATTGCCCCTAGCAAACTGTACAATTGTCCCCCAGAAGATGGATTTGCACAATTTCACGCGTGGAAAGGTATACCTCACAGTGGCGAACGGCAACGTCGCCCCACATGCACACACGTACCACACAAACATGAAGCGTCCCACGACACGAACGTCCTTCTCGAGCGCCAAAACAGCCGCATTCAGGGCGTCGATTTAAAGTTGGTGGTCGCGTGCAACCTTCAGACTCCCCACAAATGCGGGTTCTCCCATCTGACCTGGGAAGCAGCCATCACACAGGCGCTAATCTGTGGCCGTCCGCTTACCCTAGGAAGGGGCGATGGGAAGTAAAATTTCCCCAGAAATCATGTAATTTGCTATATGCAGTGCGTTGAAGAAGAGAGTAGCGGAAACATATATTCGCAGGTACATTGTAATATAAAAGAAAACGATTGGAGTTTTTTAGACAGCACCTGGAGTCAAACAAAACAAGACGCGTATGAAATCTTACCTATAGGAGGCAGAGGCATCGTTCGTCGCATTGAAGGACGGATTGAGCAGATGGGCACAAAGCTGGACATAAAGACTGTGAGCATACATGAACAAATGAGAAGGAAACAGAAAGAGGTTAACGGAAAGCGAGAGAAACAAGCCAGGTCGTATGGCCAAGGAATCGGGGCTGTAATATTGACGTCTATCGTTGACGACGGATGGAACGAAGTCGGGAAGACGGGTATCCTGACATGCGAAAACATCACGCTATGACATCGTCAACCCCTACAAGACGAAGGTAGTGTACAGCGCGACTTACTGATAGCAAATAACTCAGCATTCGACTATTCAGCTGTATACTCCTCCATCTTCTTGGTTAGCTACCAGAATAAGTCACAGTGCTGTTCACATCATAGCAACCAGCCTGCGTGCGCCTGCTTGCCTCGAGTATTATACATTGTCCTCAAATGCTACCAAGGGAGCCGAATCGAGGTCGAAGTCGTATTCCTGATCATTTCTACATGAAGCTCAAATCTAGATCTAGCTGTCCCAGTGTAAGGGTGCAAAAGGGTTCGTTGCAAGGTCAAATGTCAGCGTAAGCCCTGGTATTCCCACATCCTCCTCAGTAACAGCGCAGTAGTCCTTCCGCATCTGCAGCTCCAGCTCTTCGAACATAAGCCGGATTCCAAAGTCCCAGTACAGGTACGGCTGCAGCTCGAATAGTTGAGTCTCGTAAACCCCCAACATTGTAGCCAGACCCAATATGTCCTCATCACAATCGGCCCAAAGCTCATCCTCCAGTTGTTCCGATACTTGACGACGCCAAGTCTTGAACGGTACCACACCCTTCTCAGCCCAAATCAATATATCAAGCAACCCCGTCTCACGCTCCCACGTACTCACAAAACGCCCCCGAAACTCGTACGTGCACCAATCGCAGGCGACCACGCCGCAAACGGAGCAGTAATTCGTCCAGCTGCCCGCGATATAGTTACAACCCAGACAGTGCGCATATCCATATTCTGTCTGTGATAATCGCAAGTGCCGGTGCCACGAATGCCTACATTCCAGCTGCTGAAAACTTGGAGTACCTCCGCTGAAGACGCTGTCCTCGGGATGCGGATTCGGAGCAAGAATCGGGACGCGTCGGGCGAGACGAATTTGTTCACGGACAGAGTCGGGTGGTGGTGATGCCTGTGAGTGTCCCTGAGATGCTGGTGCCAGATCCCACGAAGTCACAATTGTAGCTTCGACTGGGTTTGCTTCATCCGTGAAAGGAACAAGCTCCACTCGCCAGGAGTTGTCGAAGTTGAGGATTTGCACGTCTTGTTCTGCATCCAGTTCTTCGTCCCATGGCCTACCACCCTGTGCTGGTTCTCCCCACTCAATCTCGTCCTGAGGCGCAATTCCGTCTGCTCGCTCGTTATTTCCAAATTGTGCGTCGTCTACCCATTGTTCTTCATCGGCATAGTCTATCTCGTACTCATCGTAATCCAGGTCCTCATTGTCCGAATACTGATCGTGTTCACTGGCTGCACTTTCTTCCACAACAGCGTGGCTCAGTTGTCGCTGACCAAATCGGTTGAGCCCCATGCGGTTATAACCAGTGTCTCGGTGTAGGCCTCGACCACCCAGCTCGTAACCCTCGTTGTCGTACCCTTCCTCTGGGTCTCCGTACGAAGGGCAACCGGCGTCCTGATGGAAGCCCTCGCTAGTCCAAGGCTGAAGACAAACGAAGCAGAACTCATGATGACAGTAGTGACAGGTCATGTGGTTGCAAGCTTCCTTGTGCTCCATCCACATACGGCAATTCGGACACGCTTTTGCGCGGCAGCTAGCTGAGTACTCCGGTAGCCATTCTGGTCTCACCGTATCGTCCACGTAATCGGTGCACCGGTGCTCCTCATCTTCCCACTCATTTTTACAACCGACGCAGGTATTGGTTCCACAGCTGCAGCGTGCCACCGTGAATAGAGGATGATCATCTTCCACACAGCTTTTCGGAATATACGAGCGACATTGCTCATTAACACAGTAAACGCGAATAGCGCGCGGCGTGTAGTGTTCTTCTGCTCTAAGTGAATATGCCACGCGTACCTTAGGACTCAAAAGATGCTCGACAATGGGGCGAGGGAAAGGACTACAGCACTGGGCTGGAAAAGCGTCTATGTCGGCGATTGCAGCGTTGTACGCATCGACAACGCAGCTGTTGCATGTGAAGTGCTCTTCGCAATGAGCAACACCACCTGAGAATGGGAAATCGTCTCTGCAGATGCAGCACTCGTATTCGATTGTGTCTTCGGCTAATCGTGGCTCGGTGGATAGTCCTTCGGTGTGAGCTGTCTGATCTTCGGCATCAGAAACTACGATGTCTCCTACTGTCTTCGTAGCGGACTTGCGAGCTTTTCGCCATGCCTTACGATTCATACTGGAGGATGATAGCAGGATAGTATTAAGAGTGCCTGTTGGTGATGGTTGACCGGCAGGCTTTGACTTAATATTAATAAGGCTTTTTCTACTTGCCATGTTACTCGACCGAGAGTACCAGTATGTTTGGGTTTGGTATGAAATGCGGAATTCTTGAGTAGCTCTTCCTCTCTGGGGAACCAAAGTGCCAGTTTATGGTACCGAGTTGTAGCGTAATAGTGGCTGGTACTTGATCCTAAATCAGGGTCAAGTGGATTTTCCGATTGGAAGTTGTGACGAGCCTCGGGTTGAGAAGTGGAAGTGGAGCTCACAAGACTGTGGTTCTAGGGTTGAACTGGTCCACGCAAGGAGGTGGGTGCATTCATGGCGCTCCAGGTCACTCAAATGGACCCACATATAGGAGAGCGATGATGAGAGTATCACGTCTGTGCATTATTTCACTCTAGAGGCGCCTCCATTAGTTGCAGTACTGCTGTGAAAGCTTAGAGCCAGCCCTCTCTTCATCATAAGAATTTCTTGCTGAGCGGAGCGAAACTGCATGAAAGTGCTTACTCGATCGTAAATCGAATTTCACAAACCGAAAAAGCCCACACCTAGCAAGCGGATCGGACTTACTGCTCACTGGGGTAGTGTCATGACAGGTACGATCAATTGCGCTTCGGTAACCAAAACATCCAGGACGTAGTTGATAAGGAGCTTAGCAGATTGACAGATCAAACTACATCGACGGTATTTACTCGATGGCTCGTCCTCGATGCGAACTCAGTGACCGTTGATTCCAATCGTACCATTCAATCCGTTCCCAACCCCCTTCCCAGGTACTGACACTGCGCTTCCCAGGCCTTCCTCCTCTGCCATTTTCTTCTGCCACGGCAACATCTCCTTCGCCGGTACCGCCGGTCCAACCTCGCCACCTTCCTTCCTCTTCTCAGCCCATTCGTCAATGTCTTTCTGCTCGACGAAATTACCATGTAAGCCCAAGCGCAACTTCACCGGCAGATGTATAACCGCTAGCGGACCCTGTGAGAGGTTCTGTGCATCAAAAATAAGGATATCGTTGCGCAAAATATCAAGATGGTTGAGCAGCGCCATGATATATCCCTCGCCTTCAACGAGATCCGCTGGAGAAGATGAGGCTTTGGGTACGAATACGGGTTCTTGGAACGTGCATGTCGGGCCTGCCCAGAAAGTGTCTTTCTTTCCGCTCTCCCACTCATAATGACCCAACACATTGAAAAGCCCACCAGCTGGCGGGCCACACTTCTGGAAGTCGTACGGTTTACTTGGGTCTATGTTGCATTGCCAGAAGTGGTTGTACTTCTTCGTCAACACTCGATCGTCGATGCGCGAAAACTCGCCGTTGGTACCGAAGAGTTTGTGTGGCTGCACCCGCGTGTTGATAGGAGTCTTGGGATCAAAGACCCAGCGGTAAGTATCGGAGACGAGCTTATTACGCTGAAGTAGCGTCATGGGCGTATCTGCTTGGCTGTCTGGTGGGAAGAAGTAGAAGACATTGTCAGAGGCTATAGTAAGGTCAACGACGATATTTCCCGAAGAGTCTTCGTAGGAGCCGGCAACGTGGCCATGAAAGCCTGGTAGCATTAGCATATATCCCATGCGATATCACTGTGTGTAGGTCTCATACCATTGTCAGCACGTAGCCAGACGATATCCTCTGGCTTCCCATTGCGGCGAGGCACAATGCCATACCACTGATCTTCATCGGGATCCCAAGCAAAGTGATTGCCACCTTTCTTGAGCCTCTCCGCGTTGACTTTGATTGGAGTGAGCGGTAGGATCAGGTAATTCTTCGTGATGGCGCAATCATGTATCATTCCGCAAAATGGTGCCTTGTACCAGCATTCTTCAGTCTTTTTCCCGTCTTTATCAATCGTGTACACCACGATGTCGCAACTAGCATCGTACCCATTACCTCCGGCTTCATAGCCATAGCAAACCATCTCCCCAGTATCCGGGTCGAACTTGGGATGCGCAGTGAACGTCGGAGATTGTACTTGGCCATCGAAATCATACCGACCAATTGTCTCAAGCGTGACCGGGTCCATGGCAAAAGGTGGCCCGTCTTCCTTCGTCGCTAGCAACACTCCACGCCAGAAGATGATGTTAGTATTCGACGCTGTTCTGATGATGCCTTTCACCATCTCGTTATCTGTGTAAGGATTTCTGTACCGTCCCAGTAGTGACTTGCGCGCTTTTGTTTCCGCTTTGAAGCGATCGGTATGTACAAATCGCTGTCTGAAGTCGACGTGACCATTCTCGAACCGGAATGCAGATACTGAGCCATCACCATTGAAGTGTATGTCTTCTTCAAACAGAGGTGGAAAGCGATGGTCAGGTTGTATGCGAAAGAAGGTGCCGTTTATGTCTCTAGGAATCTGGAAGCACTGAGCTTCAGGCTCTATATATCGAGCAAAATACTACACCTACTGTACCAGTCGTCTCGAGCTCGAAGATGTCGGCTTCAAGTCGTGATGGCTTATTGAAGCCTTGGAAAAAGCCACTTTCTGGGAACTTGACCTGATCACCGGATCGGCTCCCTTTATGATACGCTGGGGATGCGGGTGTAGCGAGGGAGAATATGTGCGCCATGGTATGCTCTCAACTGATGGCGAAGTTTGGCATCGCAGCTCGACCCCATTGTTATGAGTAGACCTCTGGAGCAGGGTATGCAAGTGTTTGGTACGAGATGTACTGCCGTGCTCGGAAGTCACGAGTAAGCATGTGGGGAAGTGAGCTTGCGGGGTAGATGGTGGTGGCTACAGGGGTTCTTAAGCCCGGACTGATCAGACCGCACAGGACCGACAGCGGCACGTTTGGTCCGAAGAAGAGAGCTTAGGTTTAACATATGTTGATCGTACGTGTTCGGGCACGTGTAATGTCATGCACTGGTGGCAAAATATGGTTAGCACACGAGACTGAAATGCCTAAATGGATACTACACACAACAACGTTGGAGACGCGTAAGCGTGGTGGGAAGTCACCACTTTACCAATCGATGAGAAAGAGACGAGTGAAAAGAGGGGTGCAACACGACTCTTTATGGTACCTCTTATTCATTAGAGCTGCAAAAAGATGTAACACGCGGCTAGCAAAGGCTGTGATGATATCGAGCTACTATTTGCTTGCCATAGAACATATCCGTTAGTGGTGTGTGCAGTACTACACCTAAGTCGTGCCATTCATCTCCGATTTTGGTTTGCTCAGCACGAGTGGAGGAGTGCTCGTTGAAGGGTCTTTCCCAAAGTGTGGAGCTCTAAGATCGTCGTCGGCCACTTGCTCACCAGTGACAGGGTGCTTGTAGTGGAAGGGCACGACGCGCGTGTCTGGCCAGAGCATCGGGTGATCGCACAACACATCTGGCCCATTTGGATCTTCTGGATACGTCTTCGAGAGGAACGGCACGTAGTTGGGCTTGGTGTGTGCCCAACCTTTTTCGAATGTCGCGTGCCAAAACGGGAAGTACTTCAGCCTGAAGATCTTCCATACGCCATTCTCTTTGATGTACTCGTTCTCATACACTCCACCCTCCCACCATTGTACCAGGCCGCGAGGATGTGTGTCCTTGATGCTATCGTGGGTACCAGCCGACATCATACTGCGGAAGCGGCCTTTTGCACGTGTGCCCTCGGAATTGACATCGACTATGCCTTGCATCTGTGGATGATCAAGGAGGAAGCCATAAACAGGGCCATTACGCCCAGCTACGAAGGAATTGGCGAATCGACCGATGTACAGTCTTTGTACGCCCTCTTTGCCATTGTATCGGCCCCCAAGAAACTCAACGCATGTGTCAGGATGGTCGGCGTATAGATTGGCGACCTGATACACTTAGCTTTTGTTCAGAGAAACGATGTGATTCTAATTACCTCTTTGTATAGACACTTGTCGAGATAGTAACCGTACGTATACTGGAGCTTGCGGATGTCCTCCTGATCTAACGTTCCGTTAGCTAGCCACACGGAGGCTAATCGATGGCTGACTAATCACGTACCACTCAAACGCGTCACTTCCGCCTGTAGCTTCTCCACTATCGCCTTCAACTGCTCGATTTCGCTTCCCATGATTTCGCGGTCTTGAACAAATAATGGTGAATGGTCACAACCTGGAGGGTACGGCTATTCATTCCTTCTTAAGACTCGCAGTCCAACACGAAGCTTCTCACGGCACATGAAGGTATCTCGTGGGATTCGCAACCAAAGTTCCCCTCTTGCCAGAGCTCCGCGAATGGGCTCGCCTATCACGGCGGTGATATAGGTGCGATATGCATGAAGTCGCGGGATGATATTGCCGGCGGGACGCTTTGAGCGAACGTGTGGAGCAAGACCGGCACCGAGGTGGGGTCGTCGAAGTCATCGAAGCAACACCGTAGCACAGCCTCGCTTCTTCTCCAAACTTACTGCGCTATTTTCCATTTTAAGATAGCCTACACCACTAAAATATCTCCCAACTCACTTTCCGAGTATCAATCGAATTTAATCGCTCAAGATCTTAGTATCGCCAAAATGGGTCTACCAGAGAAGATCGAAACGCGTCTCTTTATCAATGGAGAAGTCAGCTCTCTTCTGTCGATTGGAAAAGCCCCAGCTAACCTCAGCGTAGTTTGTCGAATCATCGAACGGAAAAACTTTTGACATTATCAATCCAGCCACCTTGAAGCCTGTAGCAAAAGGTGGGTGTGGGGCGCCTCAACTCAGAGTAGTTAATTCCTGACGGTTATAGTACACGAGGCGTCTGAGCAAGACACCGACAATGCCGTAGCAGCAGCAAAGGCTGCCTTTCCTGCTTGGTCTGAATTGACTCCGGAGAAGAGAGGCTCGTATTTCAAGAAATTAGCAAGTCTAATTCGAGAGAACAACGATGAACTGGCTGCTTTGGAAGCAAGCTCGATGGGCCGCCCGGTGGGTGAGTTTATCGATGCTTATGCCTCTGCTGCAAAATGGGACCGCTACGCAGAAGCGGGATACAGTGTACAAGGTAGGATGCTTAGAATTGAATGAAGAAACAGAGTGCTGATTTAGAGCAGGCACTACGAGCATTCAGACCCCGGGATTCGTCAACATGACATTCCGCCAACCTTATGGTGTTGTAGCTGGTATCATCCCGTGGAACGTGCCATTATTGTTTTTGGCAAACAAATTAGCACCAGCCCTTATTGTCGGAAACACTGTTGTCTTGAAGAGTTCTGAAAAGGCTCCATTGACCGTAGGTGGCCCTTTACATGTCCATGTAGGAAACTAACAATAGCAGTCTGCTAAAATTGCTACTTTGGTACAACAAGCTGGCTTCCCTCCAGGTGTGATAAACATCATTACTGGCTTCGGGAATGTCAGTGGTTCGATCCTGAGTCATCATATGGATGTGCGAGCTTTGTCATTTACAGGATCGAGCCGTACAGGACGTCTGATTCAAGCTGCTGCCGCAAAGTCCAACCTCAAGCAGGTATTCCTTGAGCTCGGAGGCAAGTCACCTGCGGTCATCTTTGAAGATGCCGACCTGGAAAAAGCCGTGAAAGAAACAGCACATAGCATTCAGTGGAACAGCGGTCAGGTTTGCATGGCCAATTCGCGCATATACGTCCAGGATACAGTTGCCGACAAGTATATCGACCTCTTCAAGCAGAACTTCGAGAAGGAGATCAAGATGGGTGACACCCTGGAGAAAGGCGTCAACCACGGCCCGCAAGCCGACGAGGCGCAACACAAGACCGTATTGGCATATCTGGAATCGGGAAAGCAATCTGGCGGTGAACTCATCACTGGTGGCGGCGCTCCATCGGGTCGCGAGGGCTACTATATCGAGCCTACTATCTTCAAGAACACACCAGAAGACGCAAAGATCATGAAGGAAGAGATCTTTGGTCCAGTCGTCAACATCAACGTCTTCAAATCCGAATATGAAGTACTTACCAAAGCTAACGCGACAGAGTTTGTCTCACCCTCCTTAGCGTGGCCTAGCTGAAACAAACGCTGACTAATTCTGTTCAGGTATGGGCTGTATGCATCGGTGTACACTAAGGACATCGATCGTGCAATGCGCTTCGCTAAAGGCTTAGAAGCTGGTACCGTTGGCGTCAATTGTACTTCGCCAGGTAGGCAATACCCATTCAGCTCAATTATACATGACGCATTCACTGACGTCGCTCCAACACATAGTCACTGGCGTCGACATGCCTTTCGGTGGATACAAATCATCAGGATCAGGACGTGAGGGCGACCCTTTATATTCTCTGGACAACTTTCTGGAGACAAAGAGTGTCTTGATTAAGATCTCTTAAATATTGCGACATGAGTCGAGCGGCTGCGACATGATTTGCCGTCTCTCCAACGCTATTCTGTGTTCGCTATAGATTTTGATTAGCCGACCGGCAGGTTCTGCAGGGTGGCCTTGCGTACGCAACGACGCCCCAGCAGATCCCCCGCTAGAAATGGGAACCCTTTTCCTTTGTCTCCAACTGCAACAGGCACGATGCTCTTATGACTTCTCCACGAACTGCTGCAAGCTTGCCGAATGAGACTTTCGCATCGCCGCTAGTGTCATCCTACCCGGCCGGGCTATCGTGGGTGTCGGATGAATATGGCCGAGTACTCCGCCGCCGCCCCGCCGCCACGAGCTTCGGCGCCCCCATCCAGCAGAGCACCGAACGCCCATCGAGTCCACAGCAGTTGCGATCGGTGTCGCAGTAGGAAGACAAAGGTAGCTAAGACAGTTCCACCTCTATCAGTGCCAAGAATCTAACCATCCCCTCTAGTGTATTGATCCTGGTAGGGCTCTTTTCCCACCGGTAGTAGAATCGTGCCGGCAATGACACAGGCTGACAATCTTAAGTCCCGGGACCATGTCGTTACTGTGCGCGCACAGGCGCTGTGTGTACTATTGCTACCCCAAGAAGGAAAAGACCTTATTACCATGTTACCGAAGAAGAATACCAATGTTCGATGCGCATTCTCGAACACTTCTTCCCTGGTCATGAGCTTAACCTGCAGTCCCTCAGAACCATTGCTAAAGCGATCAAGGACGGTACCTTTAATGCAGAGCCCGTCCAGCATACCGAAGGCCTCTTCAGTAGTGATCAGGCATCACCTGAAGATGCAGAGAGCGTTGAAGATGGTGAAGAACAAGACGTGAACGAATTGCATGAGCCATTGGGCTGCATGCTGAAAGATTCAAGAGGGAAATTTCGTTACGTCGGCGCTCATAGTGAAATCCCCTTCAACGCGGCTGTCGCTACCTTGGGCATGCAAAGGAAAGACCCTTCTATTATTCCCGGGCCCAAAGTAGGGTCATATCCGCCGAACCTACCAGTTGCCTCGCCTTCTACAGACTCCGGCGCAGAAGAGAGCTACTACCTACCTGGTCGGGAATTGTGTGATATCTATATTTCTCGATTTTTAGAGGATGTCCATTGCACGTACTGGCTGTATCCGGTCGAAAGTCTGCTGCGACGGGTGGATAGCACATACTCAGAGTCAGCACCACGCTCGTCCAGCTCCTGGATGTGTTGTCTTTACACCATGTTCGCGATTGGTGCAGCCAACTACGTAGGCAGCAACGGCAACTCTCCCCCACCAGACTGGCCAGCTGCGTTGGACCTGAAGACTTCAGAGGACTATATTACACTTGCAAAGCAACTTATCCCCACAGTCTACGACGAGGCCGATATTGATAGCATACGTGCGATGGCCATGATGGTGAGTCCTGTCAATAGCTCCAGAAGCACTTTCGCTAATCACCATTCAGAGTATCGCTATGGAGAACCTTTGCTCCAGAGTCAGTTCCTACCTCTACATGGGTGCTAGCGTTCAGATGGCGTTCTCCTTGGGTTTACATCGTGACCAGTTGGCTGAGTCTGGAAACGCAATGGAACGAGAACAAAATCGCAGGATTTGGTGGACATTATTTCAGCTTGATCAGGATATATCATCGCGAGGTGGTAGTCCTACGGTCGTTGATGAACGCTTCACAAAGGTCACCACGCCTATGCCTTCTGAGCAGGTAGGTTTACAGTCGACTTGCACCAAAGCGCGCATGCTGACGATCACAAGATCTTGTATCCCGGACTACATACGCCACTATCCTGGATGGCAACATCAGTATCCCTCTGTCGATTGAAGCGCGAGATTATACAATCAGTCTACATGGAACGCTCGGCAAACTCTATATCCTTCTCAACCGTGTCCAACTCCCTTTTACTCCTGCAAAAGTGGTATCGCCAGATGCCGCCGCATCTCAAGCACGACGTACCTTCACCTCCAACGCACAGACGCGCGGTAGCAGTTTTACACCTATATTACTGGAGTACCACGATATTGCTTACACGGCCATTTCTTCTATACCTTGTTATAAAGCACGGGACGCTAGCTTCGAGCAAGAAAATCTGGTTCGAGCGCATGGGCAAGATGTGCATCGACGCAGCACAGAAGAGCACTACAATACTGGAGCAAATGGCGAGTGATGGTACGTTATCGAGTCTGACGGCCTTTGATAGCACGTGCATCCTACGGCTCATCATGATCTTTATACTCGCCTACGCGCATACGAGAACCCCACGGTACAGCACGCATATCGAGAAGCTTGTCGAGCTTTCACGTGGCATGGAACAGATTGGGTTCACCAAGATGGTCACAGAGGAAACACCACTACGTCTTGCCGAGCTTGGCATAACAGGACAAGCCCAACAGAACAATAACAACGGCAACGGAGATTCGGGGCCAGTACATCTCGACGAAATGATTGCACAATTATGGGGTAACTGGGATCCGTAAGTACTCAAAGATTGACTCCACTCAGTTCGTGCTACTGACACACATATAGTAACTTTATGACGCCGCTACAAACACAGCAAAGCCTCGACCTGAGATTCGATGACTCCGGCGCTTACGACATCAACTCTGAACTATTGGCTTTCACAAATCTGGACGACTCGATTGTCATTGACCCATCGCATGCATACTCACATTATGGCATGCATTGACTGCGACATCACGTCTATGAGGCATGCTCCTCGACAGCATGCTAAGAAGGAGTTTGGGAGGGTCGCGTCATGTACATATGAGTGGACGCAACAGGAATTTTGGGAGTTTGTACATCATCAGTCTAGCGGTTTCTTTAGCGAGCATGACACAGTAGATGAACGACGGAAAGAGATCACGATAATATCAAGTATACGGGCGCCTCGCCAATTTGAGAAAACATCAGAAGACTGGGTAGACGTCTATTCAAGCAACTTCAGTGTAACAGAACAGCCTTTACATGCACCCCGCTGTCAAATCCGTAGCCAGGAAGTTGCAGAGAGTCTTGCAAGCTCGTTGATGAAGTAGAGGAAACGCAGGTCAATTAGGTACTGAGAGGCTTGACCCAAAATGATTTGGGTACAAGAAGCAGGGGGTTTCATAAACTGTTGAGACAAGAGCGCCGTGCTAATGGCGATTCCAATCAAAGCCACTGCAATCTAGAACACACGACCCTTTGTCTGCTTCATAGCGATAATGTCAATGTTTCGCCACATGAGCACTCCAGCCGTACCAATAACCCAAGCTGCAGTTCCCGCAATGAACAGATACCTCTGCGCATCTCCGTATGCCCTCTGAACAGCCAAGCGAGTAGGTGATCCAACAGGGTAAGACAACTGTGTGACGATATCCGCGTAGATCATTAAGAGATTCGGGAGGTCTTCAGCAGGGAGGTACAACATAAGCCTTTTGGGAACCACGTCCTGCCAGATTGCCGAAGAGACAGTCAGCCCAACGGCCGAACCGACGCTTCCGCACATGGATACTAGGGCGATGGCCACAGCGAAGTATTGCTGTTCTTTCACAGCGGCCAACATTGCGATCTCGGTCGTAATTGTCATTACTCCGCCACCGAATGCGACAAAGATTTGGCACATGACAATGTATCCGATATTGTCGGTAGGCTGGCGGAAGTGGATGAGTAGTGCAGTCCCGAGGACCACTAGCGGAATCGAACAGAAAAGGGTGACAGGCTTGAAGCGACCGGTCCAGGACATGAAGGCGCCAATGAGGGCGGCGAAGACGTAACCGCCAACTGTATATGTCGACATGATGTAGCTGGCATGCGTAACACTCATGTTGAAGACGACCTGAAGGATAGACGTGAAGTACATACTCCAGCACATATAGCTGAAGAATAGTGCAAAAGATAGGATACAGGCTCCAGCGACGGTGCGATCTAGAAGGAGTTTCCAGGGAATGAAGCAGATCTTTGCGAAGAAACGCTCCCAGATTCCAAAGAGAATCAGGAGGACGATGCCGAAAACCAGGAAGCAGATAATCATAGGAGAATCCCATCCTTTTGCTTGCAGCGCGTATAGGTTGAATGGCAGGAGGAAGAAAGCGATACCGACAGAGAGGGTAAGTAGACCAACAGCGTCGAACTCGCGTACGTAGTATCTGAGCGATTCCAAGAAGGTACGTCCGCTCGAATGTTTCGGAACAAGACCAGCTTTCTTCGCCTTGAAATAATGGTACATGAACAGTCCAAACAAAGGAAGCGTAACTGCTGGGATAAGGATAGCTTCCATTCCAAACGCCCAACGCCAACCAGCTCCGTTGAGGAAGGCCGTCGAAATCGGTCCGCCGAGCCATGCGGTGATGAGATAAGATGAGCAGCACAGGGACTGAATGAGACCGCGGTGGCGCAACGAAGTTGTATCCGCGATGAACACGCTCAGACTGTATCCAACTCCATTGATACCGACGGTGTAGAAAACCTGCGACGCAGCGTATGCTTCCACGTTGTTACAGGCAGCTGACATGATAAGTCCAGCAGTGGCGAGTACAGCGCAAAGAAGGAACCCCTGTGGGCGACCGAAAACATCCAGTGTCTTGGCTATACTGAGATTTGTTACGCCTCCAATGACAGAGCTTAGAACACTGGTTGTAGGCGTGAGAGAGTGGAAGGCGAAGGAGGAGGTGACGTAGGGGATCAAGGCGCCGCTAACTCCTGCTACGAGGCCTTGGATAAAGTAGACAAGCCAGATGAGAATATAGGCCGTGATCAAAGATGCGGTTGTCCAGGAGAGGGTCACGGCTTCGACGGCTTGTACACCAGCCTGGTAGTTGGCGTCGACAGTGTTGTTTCCATCTGCGGTGCCGACATGGTCTGCATCTTTCTCTGAGCCTTGAAGGCTTCCGTGAGAGCCATCATGTACTTGGCTAAGAGCAGCCTTGTGCTCGACTTCGGGATCGTTTAGCATGGCTCGTCGCGTAACCTGAGCAATAGGTCTACAGTTTGCGGATGTCGTTTCACTGGAGATTGAAGGTGAAGAGGGTTCAGACTGGGAAGAGAGCGAAAAGACTTGTAACGGAAGCAACATGCAGAGCCTCAAAGCCGCGACTGCACCAAAAGATAAAGAACTGAGAACGTTTTTGACAAGATCGAGACCAATGTAAGCCGATAAGAATTTCAAGAGACCTTCAAGCCTTTCGTCCCATTTTGTGGCGAGTAAGACTCGAAGAGGCAATGGCACCGACTGGCAGGATCAGACGTGCATCGTAGGCGTGGCGTTTTCTTGCTCATACCTTCTCCACGGGCTACGTCGTAACATGCAAATCACATGAAAAATGGGTCACCAGCTTGGCAGAGGGATGAAGAAAGCACGTTTTCTTATTCTTGTAGCTTCCCACGCGTACGTGTGGTAAGCCTCTCCCGTCGGGTCGGTACGTTCTGTCAATAGCACCTGCTTCCTCCCACCCCCTAAAGCACCTATCAGCGGGAACACGCCGGGCAAGATTCAACACCGACGACTGTTGCAAGGTTAAGGTATACCGTCGCCGTGTGGTTCGTATGCTGTCTGGTCTGCAACTTGCTCAATTGCGTCTAGCGAGAACGCCCGGGTACCAAGAATTAGCTCTAATGTGCTCAACCTCGACTTTGTGTCCAGCCCTGTGAATGCAGCTGCGCACAAAAGTCGATAGCCGTCAGCAACAGCCAATAGTTAGTTACATACAATACAGGCTACGCCAATGGTGGGCCCGTGTCCTTCGTTCAAGTCCCTGCATGCATGCGTCCAGCGCACATCCCTTGCTGACATGTGGTAAGCTGAGCTTCCAGATCAGAACAGTTGAGCAGTCATCGAAGAAAGAATACCCCGTAAAAATGCGGTTCATCCGTAAAGTTGTTGTCATCGTACAAGGTCAGCCCCGAATTACGAGCCAAAGTCCATCTTGAGCGCAATCTTCGGCATGCCATCATCCTCCCTACTCGCCTCCTGCCTTCTCGGCCCTTGCCCACTCTTCAATACACTTTCCATGAAACTCCTCTGCTCGGTGTCTAATCCAGTCACCACACCCCTGAATGCTTGTTGATCCGCACTAGCGATTTCCAGCAACCGCGCCGCAGTTTCCTGGCTAGCCTTGGGCTCCTTCCGCGCTCGTGCTAGCAAAGCAGGTATTATAATCTTAGTTGCAGTCTGTCGCTGTGATGGTTGGGGCAATGTGGAGATGAATGTGACAAGAGTCTGTGCGAGAGTTGTACGTGAATCGTCGAGGCCCTCAACATCAGAGGCTGATGCGAGGAACGAAAGGGCTGGTGGAAGTATAAGCTTTGCGATGCTTGTCTCGAGAGCACCCTTCTTGGGTAGGAGGAGGAGTGAGCGACAGCAACCTGCTGCTACCTTGCTTGTTGTTACGGTGCCGAGACAGTCGAATAGGTCATCAATGAAACGCTTGACAAGTGGGTCGTCGGGCGAAAACGCAGAGGCTACAGAGCTCAGTAAGATTGTAGTCGCAAGAATCGTATTCTTCTCGCATGCAAGGGCGGCATCAAACTCGCGTTGTTGCGCGTATCTCAAAATTGCAAGGAAGCGCGCTAATGTTGCACGAAGTTGCTTGCTAGTATCGTCCGTACCTTCGGCATGTGGCGCAAGGCTGATGATGAAGCGCTTGAAAATCGGGAGTGCTTGCGGAATGACTGTTGTTTGACATGCTCCGGTGCTTAGTATAGTTGCAAAGATGTGAAGGATGCAAGCGTGGAGGTCGGCTTTGATGATCGACGGGAAAACTTGCGCGGCGTCCACGAGCGCGGATAGGGCAGTTGTCAGCAGAGCGACTGCCTCCTCATTCATCTCGTGGCGTGCTTTTGCTTTGCTATCTTCTAACCCAGGTACTAGTCCGGACAGTACCAGTACCATAATCTTGGTCAATTCGAACAGCTGATCGATATCTTCAGAAAGATGCTCATCAGCAGCGGCAGCTCCCTGGTCTCTCCGCGCAGATGGATGGCCAAGGCACAGATTCCGTGTAATCTCAACAATGACCGTCTGAACTGTCAAACCCTCAGTGAGCACCAAGCGATCGAGCATATCCATAGTTTCCGAGAAGACAACTTCCCGGTAGATTGCATGACCGGATACTGATGGTCGTAGGATTTTCTTCAGTGCCTGGAGAATCTCCAATATTTGCTCCTTGGAAGCCTGCAGGTCACCTGGACGACCCGCTAATGCTTCAAAGGCGAGTCCAAAGAGCACAAAAAAGAAGGCGACGGGCTCGTCGCGGTAATTGATGTGACCAGACTTTCCATTAGGCGCAGCTTCGGACAGTTCGGTTTTGCCATCTAAGGCGTCGAAGACAAACTCGCTGTCTTCGTCGATAAGGCTGGCGATGGCGTCTACCAGGTTTAGCCAGGTATCTTGGTAAAACTGCAGTATATTAGCACGTGTTGGACATCGTCAACGGCTAAGTGTACCTTCAATAGTGTCTCGCGATTAAGCGCTGCATAGATCGTGTCGAGACTTCCAGACAGAGAGGCCGAGCCCATGGAAGAGGAAATGTCAGGCTCGAACCTCAGACGGGCATACTCTCGTAGCGATGCCAGCCAGAGAGGAGTTAGTTTCGCAATATGTGGCTTCAATACATCCACCAAATAGCTCTGCTCAGCGCTCGCAATCTGTAGCTCAGCCCAGGCGGAGAAGACCGCCATCTTAACCATGACTTGTGCATTGGAGCTGAGTCC